CAAAGATGATGTCTGGCTCTTTCTGCAGGATTACTTTTCCATGGCTTGATTCAATTGATGTGCCATTTGTAGCTTAGCTCTGCCATGGGCGGCGGACTGTCCAATTGACTTCTTTCTCATTTATTTGAAATTTCCATGGCTTTTGGCCGCTCTTTTGCAAACAGCGCTTTGATGGGCTCCCAAGGAACAGTGCTAATGAGTTAGATGAGTGACGAGAAAAGCAATTAGCCCTGGATCTCCTTCACCTTTTCTTTTGCATTGTCTAGAAAAATTAGGATTTTTAAGGCTTTTTAGCAGTTACTACATTTCATGTTGAACATAAACCAACCTTTTGTTCTCTCGTCTTCGGCAGGATGCCGTCATGGACAGTAAATTGCATCAGGTGAATGGTTCAAGCCTCCAGGCGAGCCCAGTGGCATTTGTTGAAGATTTGCACCAAATCTACTGACTGTGAGGTGATATTAACATAGACCTTCCTAGAACATCGTACTAACTTGGTTGTTTAGATCTCAATTGACTTCTCAAACACCATTAATTATGCATATAACTGGGCATAAAAACAATCAAACAACTGTTTCCTCCAGTGGTTTATGCACAAATTCAAGTGCATATGTCAAGTGTCATATACATCAAGTGCGGGGATGTCATTTACATCCCTGGGTCGCCATGTTAAAATTGCAAGCAGCGGGTGGCAAAATGCATCAAGACGAGATGTTAGATTACGAGCATGTTGAGTTTATGGATGCGTTTACCATTCAGGTATCAGGCCAGATTGTGAAATAATTGATTGTTCTGTTGAGATGCCATGTGCGATGACAGCTGATTGGGCCTCGTATATGCGACCGATAAGCAATTTCATTTCGCCATCTGCCTTGTCAAAATGAGCTCATGAAATTGTAATGATCCCGTGGAAATCTAATGATAGACTTAATATTAACTAAGAAATATGAATATTTCCACACCAAATACGAGGCACGGCATTTTCAGACAACATTTCTTTAATACAAAGTCAACATATCTACATACACAGTGGTTTCAAACCAATTATCGTGTCCATCAGAAGTAACAGTTTGAAAGCGATAGCACTTGGCCTTCGTACAAAGAGAAACTATTTTCACGTTTGCGTTTGGCTTGTTTCTTTTTTTGTTGGCTGTGGTTTTAATACGTTCAATTTTGTATATTGGTTCTCCGTTGTTTGTAGTCTAATCAATTCACACGTTTGGCTCCCGTTGTCGAACGTCCTTGCATTGAGCAGATGAACAGGACTTCCGGGCACCTTTGCCATCGTAGGTTTTGGAGATCAGTCCGACAAGTCCAAGTGTTCTTTGCGGTAAAGTTCGTTAGAAACACACAAAACTCCCGACAGTTTAAAAGGCAGCGCTGGAATTTCCAGATTCCAAGTTCTCTCGTACTTCGTCCCCCAATGTAAAAACAAAATAAGAATAAAAGTGAACTAAACATGGCATCGTTAAACTTCTAGAGCTTTGCGATGAACTATTAATTTAAAAAAGATGAAGCGCAGAGGCAGTGGTGAGAGAGGGGCGTGTTTTTAAACTAGCAATGATGACGTGAAGCTAATTACCAAACGCGCAACCAATTCAAGGCAATTTGCTCTCGCTGTTCGTATGGCATTTTATAGGCACTGGGCATTTTATAAGCCCTTCTTCATCCCGATCTAGCAACAGAATCACTCAGAATGAGAAAAACACAAAATGATTAGTGCTTCAGGCTCTGTACGGGTAAAAATGGGATTCATTTTTGGGTGAGTCTCATAAAACCTTTCCAGAACATTGCTGGGCCATATTTCACTCAAAAATCAAAAGAAAACTAAGAAATTACATTTTGCTTGGAGAAGTATTTTTTTGAGACCAGTAAGATAACATTTTGCATTTCATTTTCAAGATTTTTCACAGCAATACAAATTAGCATAGTCTCCTCTAAAAAAAAAAAAAAAAAAAAAATCAAATTTTCATTACCATAATGCAAAAAATGCACATTACTTTAATGCACTAATTTCAATAACACTTTGAATTTAAGCAATTTTTAACTGTAAAACAGTAAAAAAAATAATAATTTTTTAAAAAACTTTTATGGACAATAATTATAATCACCTAAATTATAATCAGTAATGAGAAATACAGTGAATTTTGAGGTAAAAATGTTTAAAAATAGGCTTTATTTTCTTTAATTTTGGAGTGAAATCTGACAGAGATTTATTAGTGTATTACACGTTAAAAAATAAGAGTAATGCACAAAGTCTTATGGGAAAAAGAAAAAGTGTTGTGATTTCTCTCACCACTGGACTGCAGTGTGTGTTGGCTAAGATAAGAAAAAAAGTGAAGAGTTGAGAAAGAAACAACAAATGGATCAGAAAAAAAGAGGAATGAAGTGAAGAGAGATAAACAGAGCTGTTAGCGTGAGACAAAGCTTCTTTCAAAACTGTGGAAGGTTTCCATTAGCATAAACATTTTGTTGTTGTTAGTTATCTCAGTTTTGTTCAAAGACAGAAATCTTGTGGGTCAAATTATACAAATACATATAATATATATTTGTTTATTTACAGGCATTATATTCAGGATCATAGTTGATATCTAACAAACGATTGAACATTCGGTGGTTTGAAAAGTAAAAAGACAAAAAATTAAAGCTTTCACAGATATGGGCTGTAACAAAATTATTTTTTGTTTTTTTTTAGTAAAATTTGGAAAGTATAGATAAATTGTTTTTGTTCAATTCAATAATTAGTAAACCAGGTCTACATCTTTTATAAAAGTAATACTTCAGTTAATACTAGTACTACTGATGAATAACAACAGGATTGCAATCATAATTCAACCTTCATAACTGGGCAACAGGAAGTCAAAGCTCTCCCTGCAATGATTTATGGGAAATTTCTGCATTTCTGATAATGCATTTCCCCAACTCTTTAAAAAACAATAAAAAGTCATTCATGATTTCATACACACAATTTCATAATTTCATGGTGGTATAAAAATGAGTGCCCGCTTCAAAAACAAAAACAAAAAAGGCTATTCATATGAAGATTTGGATACAACTTTATATTCTGCTTTTAAATATAATATATGTGAGTATGTATGTATACATTCACGTCCCATTCGTCTATGTATACATGCACACAAACACATCTCACGTTACATTTCTACAGTGAAAAAATAGAATGTCTTTTAACATAATGAGCAAAATGAGCATTATTTTTCCTTGCTAATTAAAAAAAATGAGTACAGTATCTTTGTTAAAAAACGCAAAACACTAAACCAAGAAATCAAATGTCTGTTAAGAAGATAATGGTCAAAATAATACAACAATAATGCATTTGATTTTTTTTTCTATGATTTTACAAGAATAAGGCTTTTTTGGAAATAAGATTACACACGGCTCCTTTCATTCTCTCACCAATCAGAACACTCCAGGTTCAAGCATTCTCCAGTACAGCCAATCAGCTCTAACGGCGGAGCGCAGGCCCCTCCCCCTCATATGCATGAGTGTGTAAAACAGTCCCACCTACAACAGATTCACAAGATAGTTGTACCGCAGTTTCATGGCGCAAACATATGCCCGTTTCATGCTCTTCGTTAGCCCAAATCCATTAAAGAAACACCCTTAAAAAGAACCAACAATTGCAACAAACGCAAGAAATCCCAAAGTAAACACGAATGGGTCGTTGATGACGATAAAATGCAATGTCATACTGGGCGACTGTTGGGGCATAAGGAAATGGTTTTATTGGTGGGACCAGCACACGTAATCATGCTCTCGCACACTTCCGTCCGGTGAATCGGACTCTTCACATGTACACGTACAGCATAATGTAGCAAAAGCAGCATGTTTGGTATCAAGAGCAAAACGAAACCAAAAAAACAGTTGTAAGACAAAAAATTGTTTGAAACGCTGGCAATGAACGTTGGTCACTGGGGACGTCGAAGTACCGAAAACAAGACATAGCCACGCATCCCCTATCCGGTCCGCCAAATACATTGTGTACGTCAATGGAGAGACCAGTCAATGTATCAGATGATGTCACCAAAGAAACTCAAGACTTTGTTGGTGGCTCTTCTCATCGTAATCTCCAATTGACGCAACAGGTCAAGCTCCCATTGGCTCTCAAGGATGGAAATGGAGCTACAAGGTGCTGAAGAAACTTGAGACTTCGTTGATGGTTGCTCTGGTCCTAATCTCCAGATGGCGCAACATTTCATGCTCCCATTGGCTCTCAGAGGTGGAGATGGATCTACATTGCGCCAAAGAAACTCAAGACTTCGTTAGTGGATCCGCTGGTCCTCATCTCCAATTTACGCAACAGGTCGAGCTCCCATTGGCTCTCGAGGATGGAAATAGAGCCACACTTCGCCAAAGAAACTTGAAACTTCGTTGGTGGTTCCTCTGGTCCAAATCTCCCAATTGTGCAACAGGTCAAGCTCCCATTGGCTCTCGAGGATGGAAATGGAGCCACACTTCGCCAAAGAAACTTGAGACTTCGTTGGTGGTTCCTCTGGTCCAAATCTCCCAATTGTGCAACAGGTCAAGCTCCCATTGGCTCTCGAGGATGGAAATGGAGCCACACTTCGCCAAAGAAACTTGAGACTTCGTTGGTGGTTCCTCTGGTCCAAATCTCCCAATTGTGCAACAGGTCAAGCTCCCATTGGCTCTTGAGGATGGAAATGGAGCTACATTGCACCAAAGAAACTCAAGACTGAAACTCAAGACTTCGGTAGTGGATCCTCTGGTCCTAATCTCCAGTTGACACAACATTTCACACTCCCATTGGCTCTCGAGAAGTGAAGACGGAGCTACATTGGCAGAAATGTTCACTAGCACGTCCTCGAAAGCACCGAAAAACTGTCCCCACCTCAAGAAACCGATGCGATTAGGTTTCAACCATTTCCTTGAATGCCTCATGACATGTCGAGTTCTTGTTTGGCGACTCCAGTGGTTTCAAGAGGAGGGTGACTTTCTCAAGTGGATGAATTTGGCAGAAATGTTCACTAGCACGTCCTCGAAAGCACCGAAAAACTGTCCCCACCTCAAGAAACCGATGCGATTAGGTTTCAACCATTTCCTTGAATGCCTCAGCGCCTCAAGACATGTCGAGTTCTTGTTTGGCGACTCCAGTGGTTTCAAGAGGAGGGTGACTTTCTCAAGTGGATGAACGGTTTGCCTCGAATTGCTTCTTAAGTGGCTCCCAATTTTGTCCAAATGGCAAAATGTCGAGGAGAGGCTTGGACCCAAGACGTGAGCAGCAAAAGAAGTCTTGTCTGTACCGTTGCTCCAACTTCTCCATTGAAGACAGCAATGACGACTGCTGTTACACTGACAGATCACATTTCAATGGAAACGTTGCCATTTTAGAAAACAAAGAAGGATTTTAAACGCCAGCCAATTAGGTGCTCATCATTTATACTTAAATGTGTGGTCATGTTGTATCTCACCGACTTTTCCTTCATGTCTTTTTGTAATATGTTCATAGAGTTAGTTTGAAAAGAAACAATGCTTGTCCTCCACGTCAGAACACTTGAGGTAAAGTTAGTGGTCCGACACCTAGATCGTCATTCCCGCCCTACAGCCTGAGCCAAAACGTTTGGTTCCTCCATCACGAGCTTGGGACGTAGAAGGGTTTGGGATCCGTTTGCGCTTCTCCAGTGTTGCTTGTGCAATTGGGGATACGCATGACGCGCTTTGATTGGTTCCAAAAGACGATTCTTCAAAGAATTTTTATGAATTGTGTGTAGTTGTCATCGTTTCGTGTTTTCAAGCAAGTTTTTATGGCTCAGGAGGCTGTTGGGGGGAGGGGGGTTTGTGGGGCAGGGGGGAACAAAAATGGCTTTTTACGTTGCATAGTGATCAAAACTTCCAAGGTACTCCAGAGCCGCCTGATAGCAAAACTGGTACTCATCCTGTAAAGCGAAACACAAAAGCATCAGCATTTGTTATTACTTCAATTTGCCAACCGTCCATCTATTAAACAAGACAATCTGCCGTAAAACAGAAGCTCTGGACTCTCACCTCTGTTTGCACCATTGCTGGCCGTTGCGTTCTCAGCATTTTGACCGTCTGGAAGATGTCCACCACACCCTCGTAGCGCATCCGCTCCAGCACGATGCTTAGCGTGATGAAGACCCCGGTCCGCCCCACGCCGGCACTGCATTGAGGAAATCACAAGCTTGTGTTAAAAAGCGCTCTGTGAAACCGAGAACTGATGATGGTGCAGTGGGGAAAAGGGTTAGTTTGTTAGCATAAATGGTAATATCTTTCTAAAAGGTGATGAATGTACAATTTGTATTTGAAACAGTATGCTTTCACATGAGGAATCTTCCCAACAAAGAATCATATCTGTTTTCCAGTGGAAACATCTAAACATTTGTGAAGATACATTTACTTGAGAAACAAAATTGCTCAAGATATTAAGAGAATTAAGTGTTAATTTTGTTTAAAGTACTAATATCTGTATGAAATGGAATATCATCATACTGCTATATTAAATTCCTTAATTTGAAATTAGTATTATTTCGATATTTTTACTGGAAAACAAGATGAGGCGGTCAAGATCAAAAAAGACCAAAAACAGCATAAAAACGTGTCTCTGATGGAGAAGCAGAAGCTGAAGACGGATGAGAGAGAAAAGCTAAATAAAGACCTGTCGCTCCATAAACACACAAACACGTGTGAACCCAAACATCAGCATCTCGTGAATGAATAAACTTCACACGCACATTAGTCAAAAATTGGCTTGGCCTTTATAATAAATGTTGTTTATAATGAATGCCACTTTAATTATCATTATTAATATTATTATTATTATAATATAATATATATAATTATTATTATATTTTTAATGTACTTACATATATCATTCCGGTCTGTTTAAATAAAGAGAATAAATATCTGCCAGTAGAGTCAGAAAAATAAACTTCATTCAAAGGAGAAATGAGATTATTTTCCTAACCCTATTGGCTGATATTTGTTCTTGTTTTAAGAAAAAACCCTCACTTAACTTTGATACATTCGTGTGGGAAAATACTTGCGCCGTTTCTGCTTCTCAAATAAATGTATCTTGGTTTTAAAATATTTCGATATTTTTACTGGAAAACAAGATGAGGCGGTCAAGATCAAAAAAGACCAAAAACAGCATAAAAACGTGTCTCTGATGGAGAAGCAGAAGCTGAAGACGGATGAGAGAGAAAAGCTAAATAAAGACCTGTCGCTCCATAAACACACAAACACGTGTGAACCCAAACATCAGCATCTCGTGAATGAATAAACTTCACACGCACATTAGTCAAAAATTGGCTTGGCCTTTATAATAAATGTTGTTTATAATGAATGCCACTTTAATTATCATTATTAATATTATTATTATTATAATATAATATATATAATTATTATTATATTTTTAATGTACTTACATATATCATTCCGGTCTGTTTAAATAAAAGCATTTGTTGTGGAGCAACGGCAACTAAAACATGATTTTTTTTTATATTCAAATGTATTTATTTACCAGTATTTCACATTTCTGAATGCAATATCAAAATGTGACTTGCACAAAAAACTATGTAACATGTTTTTAATATTGTGGAGCAACGGCAACTTAAACATGATTTTTTTTTTTATATTCAAATGTATTTATTTACCAGTATTTCACATTTCTGAATGCAATATCAAAATGTGACTTGCACAAAAAACTATGTAACATGTTTTTAATATTATTTTAAATAATTTTATTATAAAAAAAATTATTAAATGAAAACCTATCATATATATATTTTCAAAATATTAAAATAAAATCTATCTGTCTGTCTGTCTGCCTATCTATCTATCTGTCTGTCTGTCTGTCTCTCTGATTGTATGTCTGTCTGTCTGCCTATCTATCTGTCTATCTATCTATCTATCTCTCTATCTATCTATCTCTCTATCTCTCTCTCTATCTATCTATCTATCTATCTATCTATCTATCTATCTATCTCTCTATCTATCTATCTATCTATCTATCTATCTATCTATCTATCTATCTATCTATCTATCTATCTATCTCTCTATCTATCTCTCTATCTATCTATCTATCTATCTGTGCTCTCAGTGAAATACTATTTTATTTTTTTTATTAATATTTTTAATTAGTTTTTATTTATATAGTTTCCATTTTTGTTTTAATTTTAGTTAAGGTTTCATTGAATTTGTTGTGTTTTTGGTTTTTGTAATTTTTTATTGTGTATATAGTTTATTAATTATTTTGATTATTTTATTATAACGGAAAAAAAAAAGAAAGAAAAGAAACTGATGTAAAAAAAGTCCAAGATTTATATGTGCGTGTAAAAAAATGGGTAATTAAATATATATATAATATAGAATATATATAAAATGTATAGAATATATATAAATTGTTTGTTCATATTTGCCATTGTAATTTTTTTGTAGTTACAGTTGTATTAATTTTGATGTGCATTTTTGTCATTTTTATAATAAAAAAAAAAAAATATATATATATATTTCTATTTTTATTGGGCACTATCTACTCTCATTGTAGGAAGAAAAGCAGCATGAATGTCCTCCTCCTAAAATACAGTATATGTGTGTTTATCTGTGTTCATGGTCTCAAAGCTCAACTGAAAGGGCGATGGGATGTTTCCTCACCTGCAGTGAACAGAAATGGGCCCGTCCTGTCCAAACTGCTCCTTAGTTTTATGCACCTGTCCGATGAAGTCGATGAAGCCCTCTCCTGATTTGGGAACGCCCTGCTCCGGCCAATCGGTGAACTGGAACTGCCTAACGGTCCTGGACTGGCCGTCCTGAGAGATAAACACGAACACTAAACGTCAGTCTCTTTCACTCCCACAATCCTTTACTGCACACAACAGCAGTGGATGGATGGCTTCATCCGGACGAAGGCTGACAGCTGTGCCGATACAGGATTTAACAGGCCGGAGTGACTCTGCTGCTAATCGATGGGCTGCAGAAACCCTGACGGATGAAGACGAGAGCGACGGCCAGGACAGAGAAACAAGCGATCGAAGGGAAGCTCAGGCAGAACCAGGCACAATTAAAAGCCGAAGGGGCTGGAAATATTCACTCATCCCTACAGTCAGAGTCCGACGGATCAAACACACTTAATCACAGTCTAACGCCGGGCTTTCTGGATCACAACCATTACACAGCAGACAAAAAACAAAAACTCCTCTACATGTCTATTTCCTAATGCTGGTGATTTGTTTTGTTTTTGTTTGCTTGTGTTAAGAAAGAGATCAAAACACAGTTCAATTAATCAAAAATAAAAATGTATTATTAATTATTGTAATTAAGGCGTTTATTAATATATGTATATTTTTATATTTGTTTTATGTATAATAATTTTAAATATTAACATAATAATTTTAAATAATAAATTAAATAATTCAGAAAAAACGAATAAGAAAAAATATATACCTTGTTTGAGTATATTTGTATATTAATACTATTAAAATGTGATTGATATATGTATATATATAAATAAAATAAAATAAAAGTTTGTTTACATAATATGTGTGCGTACTGTGTATATTCATTATGCATATATAAATACACACACATGCATGTATATATTTAAAAAATATTTACATGTATTTACATGCATATATGTATATACAGAGTATTTGTTATATAAAAAGAGAATATATAGTGTGTTGGATTGGTCCAGACGCTACATCATATAATTTATATTTATAAATACATAAATATGCACAGTACACGCACACATATTATGTAAACAAAAACTTTATAAATATAAGCAGGTAAACAATGCCTTCTTATAAGTATTATTACCATGATACTGAATAAAAAATAATTGTAAAAATATTTTATAATAACAAATATTATATAATAATATTATAGTAACAAAAATATTGTATTAATAATAATAATAATAATAATAATTCTTATTTTAATAATAAATATTCTTCTGTGTGCTCATTAAAACATAAACCAATTATTTTTAACTATTATATACACATACAGTATGTGATATCCAAAAATAGAATTGAAATTGCGCATACACTTTTTATATACAAGTTAATGAAAGCAGATAAACAATGTCTTTTTATAATAAATGAATAAAATATCATTTTATTATATCATTTTTTATAGTATAATATTATTAATAATTATATTTAATTCATAATACTAATGAATACTAATACTATATATACTATATATATACTGCATATTGTCTCAACGGTGCATGAGTCTATATTCGTCTGCGTTTGATTAACTGCAAACAGCAGATTGTTTTTGCCGCAACATAAGAAGGGTGAAAGAAAACGAGGTGTAAATGAGCCAGGACTGAACTCTGTGCACACACTACAGGCCGAGCGATATGTGTCCAATCATGTGAATAAATACGTGACTTGTTCGCTGCAAAAGCGAGTGCGACGGCATCCCATCATGCCTCAGTCCAGGCCCCGCCTCCTCCAGTCGGCTCTGATTAAAGCTCTCTTTGATTCTCGCTGATTACTGGAGAGCCGGCCTGGATGATTCAATCACAATTAAAGTGCTCGGCTGGAGTGAGCGACGCTCGGGATGCTCATTTCGTCTTGGGCCTGTCCGCTCGCGTTCGTACGCCGGCAGTCAGAGTGTTTCACTTTAGCGGTTTGCCGGAAAGGCCACCCGACTGATGACGGTTCTGCTAGCGGTCGCTCGCTTGATGGGATATTCAGGCATTTCTAGAGGAAGACCTACTGCTGAGACTCATGGGAAACACGATTATAAGATAGCTAACAGTATTTTGGCTCAGAATAGAGAATACAGAACAAAATTTTATTGAGTCATTTTAACCCAAAACACTTTGTAAATGATATAATCCGCAATAACGTGCTTCCGAAAGTGAAAATGATTCCGAAAAAAGATTTTTGAGGCATGGTATAACCTGGTTTTTATGGCACAATTGACATCAATATTTATAATCAACATTAATTTGCACATATTAATACGAAATTATTACATTTACTAAATACTATTAAAATGATGCTCAAAAATATAATAAAAATAATAATAAAACTATTATATAATGTAAAAAATGCTAATAATATAAATGCAAACATGCAGGTAAATATTGTTAGATTTATATTTTATATATATATATATATATGAATAAATAATAATATACCATAGTATTACCATGTTTAAAATATTATAATGTATACATATGAATCAATATTTATACATAAGAAATTAATAAAATACTCAAAATATTATTAAAATTATAATTGCTAATGACGGTAAACTATAAACATTTTATTATAATTTTTAATATAAAATAAATAATATACAGATAAATAATAATATTATTAGTATTAGTATTACTGTTTTCACCACAATTTACCATTTTTATTAGATATGTGTAATGATAATACCATGACATTCTTTGCAGTAAGTACCATGGCATATAAATGTGGTAATACTATGGTGTACAGGAAAATACCGTGGCATTACCATGTTTTTTCCCCTTATGATGCCAAGAAAACATGGTATTCTTTGAAATGCCTTGGAGTACCAGGGTATGTAAAAATGGTAATGTTTAATACCACAATATCAAAGCACTACAGTATTTAGATGATTTCATACATGGTACCATGGTAATACTGTGTTTTTGGATACATCCCATGTTAATACCATGATACCTTGGAGATACTTTAGGTTAGTATTTCCAAGAAACGTCCACAATAACATTTTCGTAAGAACACCATAAAGTACCTTGAGGTACCATGTAAAAGCCTTACAAAAGGTATATGAACATGGTAATCATTCAGTACCCAATATATTTTTGTTGTATTTCAGGACTCACCCGAGCATCTGTCACTTTGAACTCTCTGAGGATGTACTGCGGCATGTTGTACTCCGCCATGGGATCCACCACAAAGTATTGATATCTAGCGGAGCGCTCTGCTGGCCAGTACTGGTGACACTTTTCCTGTGAAAACACACAAAAACATCATTAAATGACATGATCAGGAAGCTGAAAGCCATTGGATTTAAAGAAGAGGGACACTCACTCGTCCCATCTCCCTCAGTTTGGTCAGCATCACCACAATGGTGGAGTTGTTCTCCCACAACATCCTCCAGAAGTCTTCAGTGGTCTCCGCTAATGGGCCTTGAGTGGCTATATAAGCCCTCTGTTGTCTACAGCAAAGAGAAAATGAGTCCCTGTGAATTAAGGTGCTTAAATTGGCAAAATGAACAACTCCGGGTTGCTTTCTCGCTGTTGCAGTACCTGTATCCATCAATGAAGCTGGAGTTGATATAGTCGGACCCCTCCAGCCCTCTGATGGGCTGCAGGCACACTCGAGTGGTCTCATAGGGCATGATGTTGACCAGGCGGTTTTTAAATTTGTTGCATGGCAGATTGGCACTTATGAATCTGGACGTGTGGGCTTTGGAGTTCGCCAAACGCTGTGGGAAGAGAAAGACGATTGATAAATCCAAGACAATCTCTAAAGCTCCAAACATTTACAGCTTACAGGTTCACTTCCAGAATAATCATGTCCTCATAATCTGTTCACCCCTATGTCATCCAAGATGTTCATGTCTTTCTTTCTTCAGTTGAAAATAAATTTTTGAGGAAAACATTCCAGGATTTTTCTTTACTTCAATGGCAGCCAACGGGTTGAAGGTCCAAATTGCAGTTTCATTGCAGCTTCAAAGGGCTCTACATTATCCCAGCCGAGCCCAGTCTTATCTAGTGAAACAATCGGTCATTTTCCTAAAAAATAATAAACATTTATATACTTTTTAACTACAAATGCTCATCTTGCACTAGCTCGACCTCACGCATTATGTAATTATGCACGTGTAGGTGGAAGTACCGAACCCAGTCTTTACAAAGTGAACATGCAAAGAAAGTCAAACACAACGATTTTGAAGTTGGAGGAGAAAATAGCTGCGTTTCCATTACCCTTCAAATTGCGCAAAATAAAATTGCGAATAAAAAATACGCCTATTGAAAACACGTAATTTTCACAAAAACTCCTGTGTATTGAAACGTTTTTATGCTCGTATGAGGTGGTTTTTTGGCCAATTTGAAAACTGCAATGGAAACAGTTTTTCGCATTTACAGGTCACCTGGTGTACGTAAAAATCACATGATCATTCTTTGATGTACTATAACCTCCAAGAAACACCTCACACTTGGCCGCTGTCAAGTTTAAGGGGCCATTAATGCTTGGATGGATGACCCCTTATTTACATTGCACACGTCTGCGGCTCCGACACGGCCACTCTAGTCAATGCTTGTGTTTATACCAGCTGCGCCGCAGCACGTAAGCATCCCAGAAACAGCTCTCTGCACTGCTTTTCTAAAGTATTTTACACACATGCGTCTCCTCCTATTAAAAATAATGGTAGTGTGGTGGCTGCGATATATGTAAACCTCCCAACATCCATCGCCATGACTTATCGCGAGAGGGAAAAAATTACGTTTTAGTCACATAACATTGGCTAATAGAAATGCCATCATTTCGCAAGTATTTTTATCGACATTTATAAAATATCGCAAAAGTTTTGCGCAAATCTTTAATGGAAACGCACCTAGTGAGATGGAGTTTTTTTCCCTACCCTACCTTTTTGAACCGAAGTACAAAGACGAAAAACTAACCGCGCGTGACCACTATGTGGAGAAAAATCCAGGAACGTTTTCCTCAAAAACCTTAATTCCTTCATTTCTTTTCGACTGAAGAAAGAAAGACATGAATATCTTGGATGACATGGGGGTGAGTAAATAATCAAGAAATGTTTATTCTGTAAGTGAACTAATCTTTTAAATAGAGTTTACTTTGGATATTTAGGCTTGAAGGACATTACTTGCTGCATGGGAATCTCAGACAATCGTTTAACCGTTCTGACCCTTTATTTTTGGTGTAATGCCTCTATTTTTTCTCAGTCTCACACTGTTTATAAATGGGTGAGACTGGGTGACCCAGTTTATGTGCGCTCGCAGGAAACCTGTCAATGCTTGTTGCTGTTATAATTACCCAAACCCCCATTTTTTGTCCATCAGGTGGCATGAAACCATGCACTGAAACAATTGGAAAGTCGTGCAACTTTGGCGAAATGGGTCACTGTCGCTTTTAGGAAGCCGCTTTGTATTCACACTCTGACTGGACACCACCGTTTTGTGCGCGCACATATACCTCGTACTCTCATGTCATGATCCAAATTAGAGCTTGTAACCATCAATTAACATCAACCGAGCCACAGTACGTGTAATTCTTCTCCGTTTTCTAGGTCAGTTGTCTGGAAGCATTGTCTCCTTTTAACTGGACGAGCCTGGCACATCTAGAAACTGTGCCGCACTATCTCTCTTCTGTTCTGCCAGGTAATGCCTTCACCCGGGTATAAATCCATTCAGTTCCCGCTCCAGGCCTAGTCTTTTTTTCTCTTTCGTTCAGAAGCAGCCACTGGCTGTTTGTCTTTCCTTTGAGTCTTTGAGTAGCTTTCAAAGAGGGACCTGGAAGGGCATGGGGCATTCCGGTGGGAAGCGCCAGCAATGAACCGAGCTGTTGAAATAATAAGCACGCGCACACACACTTTGGCTGGTTTAGCGGGCCGGGGTAGAGTTTTGTGACATGGTTAGCACTGTAGGCACCTTATTAGCACTAGCACTGTCATTGTGTTGGGAACGTTTCTATCCCCCATGCTAACCATGTAAATATGACTAATAAAAGTAATAAATTATGTGTTAGTTTATAATTTCTGATTATATAACAGAAGCTCTAAATGGTCAAAATAACATTTTCTGTTTTTTTTCCAGTTAGCTCTTTAGCTAACTAGTTAACTGACTAGTTTTGCATACTGCTGATTTACAAACCGAGCACACCACTAATTGATTAGTCTGCCATCTTATCATACCTCTAGCTGCTTAGCTTGAAAGCTTAGCACATTGCTATTTGATTTTCTGCCAAGAATTTATGCTTTGCTAGATTTTTCTTGAAGTAGATTTTTCTCTACTTCATATTTTTGCTCACAAGGAACCGTTTCTGACCAATTTGCAAACCAATTTAGACATTTTGCTATCTAGTTTGATGATCTCTTTGAAGGAACTCATGAATTGGAAATTGCTAGCTGTGCTTTAGCAACACCAGACGCACAACCAAAGCCACTAAAAGTAAGCCTGCAACCTTTAGCCAAAAAAGTGTAATGGCTAATGCTAACGGAAAGGAGACCAGAGGGCAATTTTTTTTGAATGGATGTCAATGGAGGAGAGGCTTCTCTACCCTGAGTAAACAGCTTTTTAGAGGAAACGGCTTATCATTTAAAGGCACAATATGTAAGATTTTTTTTAAACTATTCAAAAACCACTAGAACAATTTTATATATTTTGCTGACTTGTGTATTTACATTATCTCAAATGTTTCGAAGAATGTTTAAATCCAGAGAAATAAGCAATTTTAACTAGTGACACGGACTGTGTCCATAGTGTCATTGTGTCGCCTGCCAATGACGTCATAACCCCTCGATTTCCGGTTTTGTTTTGTAGAAAACATGGAAACACAAAAGACGCTTTAATATGTTGTGCATTTTATTAGACAGGTGACAACCGCACAGAGTAGCATAATAACAGAACTTTCAAATGTATCTAGTATGATAAAACAGCACTGCTTTACCCCACATACACACGACCGGAAGCAGCGGAAGCGCTCGACTGTGGCATAATAAAATCTCCGCTGCTTTCGAGCCGTGTGTTGCGCTCGTTCAGCGGCCTCGTTTCGCTTCGACGGCTTTCAGCCTCACCCTGCTTCATACTACTACGTTAATAAATCATTAGCTCATCCATGAACATGATTTCTGCCCGAGTCCCGTCGGATTGCATCGGCTGTGGGGATGAAGACCACAACTCCCATGATTCCACACTCAGTCACGGTGTCATCAAACTACTCTTTGTTTATACTGAATACGCGCCCTCTAGCGGCGAAAATTACATATTGTGCCTTTAATGAATCGACAGCCTATCTGCTAATCTTCAACATGTTTTACACTAAACAACACTTTTGGATTGAACTAATTTAGTTTCATGAGTTTACCATGAAAAAAAAATGCTGTTTTATAAGAGAAGTCACTGACTTTTTGCGAGAGGTGGGCTTCAGCTTACAGCATTTCTCATTCATTACTATGGTATCTGTAAACGGCGATTGAGTGTCACACAACTCTGACTGAAGTTCAATGACGTCAAGGCTGTAATGTGATTGGTTAAGGCACACGTGATCCAAGTTAGCCGTTACACTTTCTCCAATAGTAAGTAATACAGACCCTCTCATCTCCCTATAATAAGACAAACTCTGGCACAACTTGGTTTCTAAAATAGCATGTTTGACAATGCTACTCAATAAAAGAGCTTTACTACTACAATTTTTAAAAATAGAAATGCTACCGGGTCCCATCGTTAAACTAATTGGTTTGCCACCTTGCTATTGCTTCCAACACTTCTCCCGTAGTTGGTGCAAAAAACTGGAAAGAAGGAAATCTTTTCAAGGTCTTGGAGGCCAGAAACCTTCAGGAGTGTTTCAGTCGCCAAATGGAGCCCACAATCCCTCTATGCTCATTAGTGAGCACATCGCTTTTCCTCAACATCCGTCTTCATCGGGTGTTAATTACCCTTCCTACAATCCCTCTCTGGCTGTCATCAACTTTCGTTCGTCTCTGTCACAACTAGAGTTTCACATCTGTGTCTACAGCAACAAAACATGCCGCCAAGAGGTGTCGATTGTTACTAGAGGTTCTATCTGGCACGTTCGATGATCTTGTGCCAACCAGAACAACATTTCCCAGATTATCTGACGAGATGTAATTAAAGATGACTAGTTGCACACAATAAACATGTTCATACTTTTCATATGTCTTGTGGCTACCTTAAACTCCAGCTCCATGCCACTAACGTGCTCTCCGGCCTCCACCTGCGCCAGCTTCTGGATGTAGGAGAAGAGGCTTCGTGCCGCCACCTCTGTATTCCCGCAGGCGACGGCCTCCAGGAGGGCATCATGGATGAAGCTGTACTGGTCTTCTGTCTGCACCATGTAGTTCCTCTGGGAGCGCATGAGGGTCACGTGACCGTAGATGTCCACCGTCTTCTCATGCTTGATGCGCTCTAGCATGGCGTCAATCACGATGAAGCAGCCTGTGCGGCCCACACCAGCACTGAAAACACACAAGTCAGAGATGAAAGTTGCAGGAGAGTTTGGTTTCTTTTAGTTCTGTCAAAATGAGCGTATTAACGCAGCCGATTCATTTTTCCAGTTTCCATTTTATATTAACGTGCAAATGAAACTACGCGCATGCGTGTCAGATCCACATCACTTTCAGCAGTGGCAGCTCTTAAAGTAATAGCAGCCACATAACCTAATAACCCAGCTGCTGTGATGTCTGTTCATCAAAGAACAAAAGACAAAAGAGGAAATCAATAACTTTTGTAACTTTAAGGATTCATCTACTTTTAATTTAGAATTTAGTGTTTGCTATAACTTTATTAAATTTCCTACTTGCTGAAGGGCACAGGTAAATATGGCATTTATTATAATGCATTTATTTGAAGATTGTTTTAAGTTTTCTTAAATTAGAAGTTATTTTTTAAAGTGTAATAAATGTTAAAATTGATAGCTCAATTATATTTTAATGTTAGTATAGTCAACATTACATATAGTCAATGGCTAAATATTAGGAAAAAAAGAACAATTTCCTAGCGACATCAGAAGTATTGGTATCAGTAATACTCGCCTTCAGTCATAAAAAAAGATGCCATTAAACAAATATTAAAAATATACCATCTTTATGTTGTTTCTATATTAATTTGAAGATTGAATGTGAAATTATTGCAATATAAAAGTATGTTTAAAAACTTTAATTATTAATCATGATTAATTTCAGAAAAAATTGTGTGATTAATTAATTCATTTGTTTTAAACGATTGAAAGCACTAGTTTCTTTACTAAGAAACAAAGGCCAACTTTAGGGAACAATGCAATACTTGACTGCAACTTTGAATGATGAGACTGTTCTAGGCTTCGAGAGCCTTGACAAGTAGGAACTGGGTTCAGACCTGCAGTGGGCGATGATGGGGCCAGCATCTGGTGGATTGCAGGTCTTCACCCTCCTGAGGAAGGCCAGGAATGGAGTGGGGTACTCGGGAACGCCGTGGTCCGGCCAGGCGGTAAACTGGAACTGTCGAACCTCTCGCTTTTCACTGGAACCATTCTGAAACAAGAGCCAAGTGCTGTGACGCCAAGTTGCATGAATGCACAGGAATAAATCTTAGCGGTGATAAATCTAGCCCTTGTTCTAGCAATGCATGATTTAATCATGTAAGCATGAGATCATGGAGTTGTCTAGTAGTTCAAGGACCTTACATGTCAGTGTCATAAACATGCTATGTTCGGGAATCGCCTTGTGTCACCAAAATGTCTTCTACAGTGTATTATACAGTCTAACAAGGCAGCCAGGAACATGTCTGCCGCAGAGGAGATTTCGTTAAGAAGAGGGAGAGACATCAGTGTCCTGCTAGTTCTAGCTGCTAGCCTTTATTTCTCATCCTGGATGTCTTTAAAGGGAGGTTTTGCATTTCAATGTCACTGCTGTTCCAACAGAGGCTCCCTTTGAATAAATGAATAAATAAACGATGTAATTAAGAGCAAACTGGCCCAGTTTTGCCAGATACTTTTTTTTTCTCTGGCTGTCTTCTGCAGGCTGTTTCTCTGCAGTGGATGGGCTTGTGCAGGATTGTTTTTAAGAATTCATGACTCTGGGTTGACTGTGTGTGTGTGCGACTGCAGGATATGCGCACACATAAATACACCTCACTGTTCCAGCAAGTATGTGTGTAAGGGTTGTAAGCAAACTCTGACTATTCAAGCCTAGCAATGCAATACAACAACTGTGGTGCAACAAAAACACACCTCATCTGTATTCGAAGATGTCCCTCCAGTAAAAAAAAAAAAAGGAGCCATACGAAGACCATCGAAGTGCAAGACAATTTAATTGCTCATTCATAGCTCAGGAGATCTCTTCAGAAACTAGTGGATTACTGGGAAAAATCTGAGAAGATCCAATTACTTACTGTGCTGTCTAGGAGAATCAATTGAGATATTGAAGAGATCTCATTTCTCTTTCCTGGGGCTTTAAACGAAAGCTTCATCCCGTAACCATAAGCACGCTTTTCATGCTCTGTACGACAGTCTCTCTTTAATCAATGCTTCTGTTCGTGTCTTACGGGCGCCCTTCACTACAGTAAAAGCTCAATCCATTTGAATTCATGTTACAGGCTGACCGTGCAACTGGCTTACCCCTCTCTATTTCTCTCCCTCGCTCCCAACCACTTCATGTTTACTTGACCGCTGCGCCGTCTGGGATGCCAATTTAGCATGGAGTCGTTTTGCTCTGGCCACTTAGCTAAGTGCCTCTCTTTGGCAGGCGTAGCATTAAAAGATGATGGATGTGGAACGAGGAGATTATAAAAACATGCGCGTGTGTTGGTGTACACAGTCGAGATGAGAACACTGGAAGAGTTTGGGAAAAATGCTCCTGTTTGCAATCGTCCCAGTTTGCGTATGTCTGTCGGAGCCCAAAAGCGAAACTGTGTAATGTGTCTGCTCAAGGGTCCACAGGGAAATAAGAGGCCCATGCACAACGTTAAACTCTTGAAAACATCTAAAGCGAAGTGTTCCTAGGAAATACATTTATATAGGGAATACATTTTATATTAGAAACACCCATTGTGGACTGGGGTGTCCAATCCTGCTCCTGAAGCCAAGGTCTTGTAGAATTTGCCTTGAAGTTTCTAACAATCCTGAAGACCTTCAATTCACCCAAAAATTTTAATTACCCCATGATTTACTCACCCTCAAACAATCCTAGGTGTATATGAATTTGGCTTATCCAAATTTCATAATGGGCCGATATTTTGAAGCCCAAAAAAAAGTGCATCCATCCAGCCATCATAAAAAATGCTCCACATGGCTCAGGGTGTTAATAAAGGCCTTCTGAAGTGAATCGATGCATTTGTGTAAGAAAAATATCCATATTTAAAACTTTATAAACCATAATCTCCAGCTTCCGCTAACTTTCATATGCACATTCATGAGAAAGTGGTGTTTCAGCGGATGACGTAGGACGTAGATGTAGTTTAAGCTCTGGTGAGAATATGCTATTCCTGTGAGAACCAAGTTTTTTTTACAACAAAGGAAAACCAGACTCCTTTTGGCTTATATCAAAATCCTACAATATTTTTATTTACAAATCCTTGTAAATTATGGGGTAATTTTCATTTTTGGGTGAACTATCCCTAATTAGGGTTGAAGCTAAACTCTGTAGGATGTTGGGCCTCCGGGAGCAGGATTAGCCACCCCTGCTGTAGCTGAAACGGTGCAAACTAAGGTTGTTTGCATGCAAGGTGGAAACAAAAAATCTTACCTTGTGTAGAGAGAAGGTGCGCAAGCAGAAAGTGGCGAGTTCGATGGTATCCAGGAGCGTCACTTGGATCATACCGTAGGTCTCCGTCCCTCTACTCGGCCAGTACTGGTCACACTTTATCTGGAGAGGGTGAGTGAATGTTAACAAACCTTATATCTTTCATGTGGGTTTAGCTGTCTTTTTTGGAGGTCATTGACTCAGATATCTCTATGCAAATACCTCCCGAATTTCAGTGTGCTGAGGAATTACAGTCCCATTGAACTAAATCTCACCAAGATTGAATCAAATAATCATCTGGGAGTCTTTTCCAAAGACACTAAATTACTTTAGGTTTTCGACATGAGAAGTAAGACTCCTAACAGTCTCCGAACTGATTCACAAATAACGACTCAGTCCTGGGGGTTCACACCTGGAATCTCAAACCCTTCCCGTCTACCCACGTCACATCAATTACGCAGGCATAATGTTTTTCTTCCCTCCTCCGACACCTGGCACATTGACAGACCCCTGGCCCGCTGTATAGATGCACTCAATACAGAGCATGGCGAGCAGTCGGGCCGCCCCCCCGTGCCCTGATGCGATGTGACAGCTCGCTGCTTCAAAAATGAGCAGGTTTAATGCGTTTTTTGCACTTATGCTGCAGATTGAACGGCTCACTCTGATCGCATCTGACAGAGCTCTAATATGCCATGTGGCGCCCGCTAAGATGGTGAGAGAGAGTGAGGGGGGGCGTCCTGAGATATTGTCGGAGTTTGCTGAGCCTGAGAGTCTAGGGTGTGACTGAATCGTCTTCGATGAACTTCCAGACGTCACGGCTGAGGGAGTCTTCAAGATGAGGGATTCTTGACTTCCTCTTTCTGTCTCGCTCTCCTTTTTTTGTGGTAAATGGGCCGAACTGCCCCCCAATAGAGCCGAGAGATGATTCCTGGTTGTTATCAGAGAGGCCTTTCCTTATTACCCTCCATTTTCTCCATCCTTTTTGCTCATCCACTCAACCGGCAATGGCATTTCAACTGGAATAATGTCAATTTGTTCAGTATGAAGCTCAGTCTTTTTAACAAGGCTAAAAGAGACGGCCTATTATCTTCTTAGGGACTATTAGCTCCCTTCCACAACCTAGTGAGCTGCCTAGCTAGACAGTATTTTAAGACATCACCGGCACGCTCCAGATGTTAAGGTTGTTTCAAAATGAAAGATACCTCCTTTTGACAAAAAAATCCCAGAATGCACTGAAAACCATTTCATTCAATAGTTGCCTAATTCAAAATGGACCATTTTACCAAATATTTACTTGTACTGCACATTTTGGAGGATCATGTTGTTAGCTTAGCAACATGCTAATTCAATACTCTCTCGTGTAGCAATTTTTTGCGACACCTATGTATAGTATTCCAGATTAGTCCATTATAAGCCTCCATTTCCGTTAGTTTGCTACCTTGGAAGATAGGAAGCGAGACAGCTTATTAATTTTTAAACACAGCTAATAAGAACTACACTTTCTTGTTTAGTCTCACCCTTGACTTCTCTTCCAGTCTGGTCATCATGACCACGGTGGCGGCTCGTTGCTCCCACACCATTCTCCAAAAGTCTCCGAAGGTCTCTGGCAGCGGTCCCTGCGTGGCTATGTATGCGTTCTGCTTCCTGTAGCCATCAATGTAGTTAGCATTGATGTAGTCGCTGCCTGTGATACCTGGAAATGAAGTAAGAAGGTTGGTAACAGTGAGAGTTAGAGCCGGAGTGACAGAGATGTTCACTTTTCAAGGGACGTATCATGAAAAAGCAGGACTTTGACTGACGCTATGCTACATAACGCAAAGCTAACGCAACGTTTATGATACAGAAACATCAGTACATCATCAACATATGACCATTCACATTTATAAATTGACATGTATTGTGTAAAACAGCCCTGAATGCACATGCAAACTCCTTGTAAAATCTTGTAAAAATACATTTCAGCTGTTTTTGGTGCAAGAAAACGTGACTAACGTTACTTGTCGACTTCAAAAGTGTGGTTTAATACCCCTGTTTCTAGACAGTTCCAAAATGGCTGACGATGTTGTTGTGTGAGTCTCTTAACTTGTGAAAAACTTGCAGCTCCAATAACATGATATACAGTCACAGTCTGGTAAGAGGCTATTGCAGAGCTTGTGACAGATATCCATCATAGAAAATAATCCCCATGAAAGAAAAGCCATCGAGTCCCATCACAGCCTTTTCTCACTTCCTTCCAGCTTTTTCAGCCCTGTCTAGCTCTCTGAGGGCCGGCCAACAGCATCCACTGCAGCTGATTTAGGACCAGATGCTATACGATGGAATTAGGCTGGACTAGAAGTAAATCAGCGAGCAGAACCTAGCCGGACCCCGTCTCGCTCTCTTTCTGCCATCGCTCTGGGCGGCCCTCAGTAAATCTCCCATAAAGCAGCCAAACATTCTCCTGCCTAAGCTCAGGATCGGTGAGGCGGCGGGAACAGAAGTAAAGCCCTTGTGTGCCACTGATAGAGGTAACGATCTTGCGGTCTAGGTCTTGAGACCTCTCAAAACCACATAAATATGGCCTTGGCCCTTGAAATTGGAATCTTAGGGTCTTTAGGGTTAGTTCTGGGTCTGGATCTGGACCTTAAAGGTATTTAGTTTTGGTCTAAGTAACAACATGTAATTCTCATAATTATCATAATAATAGGGATTATTAATGATTTAACAAAGCAGTTACAGGAAGTGAAAAAGAAATGTATAGATGAATTGATGAATATATATAATATAATTTATTTCTGTGATGCAACGCTGAATTTACATCAGCCATCACTCCAGTCTTCAGTGTCACATGATCGTTCAGAAATTATTCTAATATGCTGATTTGTTATCAGTGTTGAAACTGTTGTGCTGCTTAATATTTTTTGGAACCTGTGATACTTTTTTCTTTGAATCTTTGATGAATACAAAAATTTAAAAGAACAGCATTTATTCAAAATAGAAGTCTTTACTATCACATTTTATCCATTTAACGCATCCTTTCTGAATGAAATATACATTTCTAAAAAAAAAATTACTGACTCCAAAATTTACTGAATAATAGTGTATACTGTAACACAAAATTCTATGTTAAATGCTATCCTTTTTAACATTATTATTGATAAAATAATCCTGAAAAAAGCATCACAGGTCCCAAATAGTATTAAGCAGCACAACTGTTTCCAACATTGCTTATAAATCAGCATGTTAGAATGATTTCTGAAGGATCATGTGACACTGATGACTGGAGGTAATGATGCTGAAAATTCAGCTGTACATGTTATTCTCCTTCAAAATAAGTCTAGAGTAAATCTAATATAATTTCACCATCATCATCATCATCTAAATGCCTCTCCTCGACAAACTGCATGATTTCATGTGTCATTCGTGTACGTAGCACATACAGCGAGGGACAAATTATGCAACAAAGTTCAACACTTAAGGTTAGGGGTTTGTTCAAATCCCTCAGTAGGAGCAAGCGCCATTAATTCTCTGAAACAAGTCACCTGTAATTACACTCGGGGTCCGCGCTCACTTCAGACCTCTGGCAAATAACCTATGAGAGGCATATTTAATTGTACAGTTTATCCAACACAAAAGCTTCAATCACAAACACAGGCCCGCAGTGTTAAATTGTTGTTTTCGTACTTTAACAACGAACAATGAAACACTTGGTTCTTTTCTAGCCCCTGCTACGTTGGAGAAAAAGGCAAAATTAGCAATCAGGGAGAAAAAAGAATGCCATTAAAAGCCTCTTCCTCGTCTCACAAAGCGATCGCAGGATTGTTTCGCTTTAGTCATAGCTAAGTGAACAGAGCACGGCTGCCTGCACGAATTGTTCCACCGCTGTGTCTAATGGTGAAATCACTGCACTGTAAAATGGAAATTTCGAACTTGATTAATTTATGCATTTATGGGCGCTGTCTTTGTGATGATTCTGTTACGCCGCGTTATTGCTCATCTAAATTGGGTCGTGGTGAACTGTGGCGAAAATCAAGGTGACGCGACGACGAGGAAGGGAACCTGGGGGAAGGGCATAAATGTAAACAGCACAAAGGAGCATTGAGGATTGACAGTCGGCTTTGGATGGAAAAAAGATGGGGGTTTTACCAACATTACAGCAGAATCTCTGCCAATTTTCCACTGTTCCTTCCAAAAGCTTGACAGCTTCTATACCTCAACCAAAGACACTCTGGGATATGGCGGTGCACTATACCATTCGAGTTTAATTTCGGCTGCTTGTGAATTATCGGACTCTTGTTTCCTGTACATGCGCGAGCAGACAATAAAATTGCGTGGGAAGGGAAGAAAGCCAATTGATTTATATGGATAAACACTATAAAAACACATAATAAAGACATAAAAAATGGATGGCGATCTCCCAAATGCACATCCTAGATCTATCAGGTTCTTTGGAAGGATTTTAGGACTTTGCACTGAAATACATTTCTCAAATTAACAGCCAGACACATCTGTGGGCAACAACAAAGTTCAGTCATTCTGGAACCTTCAGATGCAGTGCTTTTCTTTGAAAGAATCAGTGTGTGCGCAGTTCTGCCCAACCTTCGATGGGCGCCAGGATTACGCGGGAGTGGTCGTAGGCGATGACGTTGGCGTAGCGGTTCTTGGGTTTGTTGACCTCCAGGTTGGAATGCTCCCAGGTGAACTGCTGACCCGGATCGATGGACTGTGGAAAGAGAAAAAGGAGTGAAGCAACCCTTAGGGCTTTTCCCAATCCCTCAGCATCTCTGGCACGAATACTAATACGAGAAGAGAGTGAGTTTGCATCCGCTAGAACATCAGAATAAGGTGGAGAAACAGAAGAGAGTTCAACACTCAGAAAGCAGGGTTGAGTGAGGCCATGGGGCCTGGGAGGACTAAAACTAAGGGAAAATAGAGAAATGAGGATCCTTCACAAAGCAGCCCGGATAAACATTCGCAACAAGATAAAAGTCCTCCTGCCGCACATTAAAGTGTAATTAAAAGCCGTCTGCTATCGTTTAAATATTCACCAGCATTCGGCCAGGTAGCTTTGTTGTGGACAGTGAATAATAGCAAAGGAAACGCTGATAAAAGAGTCTGTTCCTTCCTGTGAGGGGGTGAATTATCTGACGCCAGCAAGATAAATGCCGCCACGTTCCCAATATGAGAATTTCTGAATAAATATTCTATTCCCCTGTCGGGGTAATTTAGTATTCCATTATGATTCCGAGCCTGTTCTCGGGCAATGGCTCAGTCCCAGCTCTTCTAGCTTGAGGGATGTTTTCATTTAGGCAACCGTCTCTGCATGCTGAAACTGGGACTAAATAACCCACAATGAGAGATTTGATGTAGCTGTTTACCCTGTGATGATTACAGGCACAAATAACAGAGCACGGATCCTCCACAGGTTGTCCGTGCTCTCAAACCATCTCTCTTATCATCTACCCTGCAAACCCATGGGTTTCAACACGCATAGCTTGGATTGGTTTGGTTTTCCTCCAGGCCAAATGTCACACTGTGCTGTGATCTAACGGATCACGTATGGATGGAAGCATGATGACATAATCGGGAGTTTGGTAATCCAGAGCATTTTTTTTTGCATAACTCCCAACCCACATCCTCTGACAAACATCTGACAAAACCCTTTGCACCAAGCATTTTTTTCTGCTTCAAATCAGCTTCCATCACTAACATTTTTCTTTCTCTTCTCTAGCCCAATTTTCCATAGACATCACTCACTAGCTAATTTCCATTAGAGATGTGCGCAAAACTTTAGCGATATTTTATAAACATTGATAAAAAAATATTGTTAAATGACAAGAGTTTGCATTAACCCTTTCACACGTGAGTTTAAAATATACCAGCTGAGCCCCCAGCGTGAGTTTTTTAGGCAACCATCATTTTACAACTTATCGCCTTATTGTTTCCATTGCGATGTCATGTGATACAACGCAGCCACAATAGCTGTGTATGACACATCGATCGCTTTTATTTAGTTATATAAAATATTCACAAACATGCTCACTATATTATGAAATATCTGACATTCCGATTCTGAAATATGTGCAAGTAAATGTATTTGGTAGTTTAAACACTTTTATAATGACCGTGTTAGTTGATCTATAACGGGTAATTGGCCTGGCCATGTTAGTTCACGCTGGATCTGAGCTGTGGGATTTACAACACGCAAATTCATCCTCTCCTCCCGAAACATGTTAAAGTAGGTCTCCGGTAAACTGGGAGAAGAGCAGAGTAAATTTTATAGTTACCTACACATCTGTATTTGATATCAATAAAACATGTCGTCAGCTTATATTTGTAAGGATCATTATTGCCGTTTCCATAGACATCAGCGTGTATTTTACAAACTATAAATGTATGGTTTTGCTAGTACTTATGTGTATTTAAATGTCTGAAACCTAAAATAAGCATTATATGGTTGAAAACACTGAATAGTTGTGATAATATGACAAGCGTTAAGCATCTGGCTCTGCGCCAGCCAAAGCGCGAAAGCAACTTTAAATTCAGCAGCTGATCATGTGACGCACTGAACGCTCTAATCACACCAGTGTGATCGTACACTTCAGGGACCAGCCAAGACTGATCACACTGGTGTGATCGTAAAGGGTTAACCAATGTTATGCGACTAAAACTTAATTTTTACCTCTAGCAATAAGTCATGGCGACGATTTTGGTAGGGTCATGTATATCGCAGCCACTGCACTAGCCATTATATTTAATTGAAGGAGGCGTATGCGTATATCTTTACAGAAGCAGTGCGGAGAGATATGTGCCTTGGTGCGGCTGGTATAAACATAAGCATTGACTAGAGTGGCCGCGATCAGCTCCGGTGGCCAGAGCTGTATGCAGTGTAAATAAGGGGTTATCCGAACATTAATGGCAAGGAAAGCCCCTTATACTTGAGATCGGCCACGTATGAAGTGTTTCTTGGAGGTTATAGTACGTTGAAGAATGATCAATTTACTTTTTACGTACGCCATGCAACCTTAAATGTGAAAAAAACATTTACATTGCAGTTTTGCTAAATATTCAGTTTTTGAATTGGCTGAAAAACCACCTCATGCAAGCGCAAAAATTTTTTTTGCGATAAAGGGCGAAAGTTTTTGCGAAATTGATGCGTTTCCATTAGGTGTATTTTCAATTTCAATTTGCACAATTTGAAGGGTAATTAAAATGCAGCTAGTGATTTAGCACCTACTTTTAGCATGCTAATGCACAAGGAATACATTAATTCCAATTTTTTCTTCTAGAGCAGCAGTTCCCAAACACTTTCCTCAGCAGAATGACTTATTTACAAAGCCAGAGCAGATCATTTTTTAAAAATTGTTTTTTGAAACTGAAACGATCTGGTAGAAGGTGACTTTACCAGATCACACCATTGTTTACTCCCTTTTTGCAAGTGGACGAGATCAGAAACGACCTTTTCTACAATCTACTACTCAGGCTTAGCTGCTTATGAATGACGTTTGTTATTTGGTTAGCATATGCAGCTAAAGTTAATCTATATGCTAAACCAATGTCCCAAAAATGATAGTGGGTTGGCTCAACTCAAGCTTGCCCATGTTCCTGCTGAGATATCAGGTCTGGCTCACGCTGGGAGCCATTTAAGACGGCATTAAGCCATGGGGGTGTTGATGGCGGTGCTGCCTTAGCAAGCTGTGATTTAAGATGGACGATGACATTTGCTCTATGCAAATGAAGGCTGATTCAGCAATAGCGAAGGCTAATCAGCAGCCGCTACATTTACGAGCCCAGCACTCCAAACCAAGGCATCCGCGCCTTCCGCAAAACCCTGTGGCACGTGAGTAACTGCCATGTAAACGCTAAAAACAATTCACCGGCATTTGTTTAGAAAGAAAACCCACTTTATGTAAGTGCAACGTCTTTTGAAATGGGTAACATTCCTATTCGTAACAAAAAATGGTATAATATGCAGTACCTCATACTCCTGGGAGAGCTTCAGGTTGTCGTTGGCCTTCAGTAGATCCGTGTGCTCAGCTAGCTCAGAGATGGGTATAGGAGGGTGGTTCATCATACCTGTGCACCAATCAGGAGACAGAAAGATAAGGTCAGAAAGACCAACGGGACCAAGAAAGACAGTTAGAAGCCAAATCCCAAAAGTTGGTGGAGAAAACAGGACTGGGGTGGGGGAAGACACCCAAGCAGGTGAGACAATGAGGTGGGGACTGGAGTGAGGAACAACGGGTGATGTTAGAGACACAGTGTGACCAGGCCAGAGCTCTACATCATCAATCGGACCAATCAGGATCGTCCTAATACAGAAAAACCGGCTGCATTTATACAGACAATATGAAGGAAAAGACCTAAGGACGATTGCTAAGGTGCTACAAAACCCCCAGACCAATTACAAAAATGATAGCAGGTCAAATGGTTCATAATAGTTTTGCAGTATGAAATTTCTTCTTTCTCACTCCGCTGTAGCTTAAAACGATGAGCAGGAGGACACTTCATATACTTGGTTGGTAAGACAAACCATACGTCTGTCCTCAGCAGACTAAGACAAGGGGGAAAATGTGCTTGGTTGCCTTTGAGAAACCAAACAAATCTCTTTTCAAACTGAGTCACAGGAACAATAAATTGAAAAAACCCCCAAGATCTGCCCTTGAGAAATACGTTCATGTCTGCAGAGCTGAAACGTAATAGATTTAATCAAATGCAAAATGTGAAAACTTCTTTTTCAGCAAGGTGAGACAAAAGGCCAAAAGCACACAAGATTGAAGCTATGTACATTGCATCTGGAATAGGGGAATGGTAACCTTGTTGGTATCCTGTAGGGTTAACCCTATGTTACCCTAAACCAAGTGTGTCTAATCCTGCTCCTGAAGGGCCAGATAGCTTAATTCCAAATGTAACTAATCTGAACTAGCTAATTAAGGTCTTCAGGATCACTAAAAACTTCTAAATTGGCCACTCCTGCCCTAACCGTAACCCTGTTCTGGCATTCGGGGATTGTGTTGCCATAGATTTGAGCATGAATGGACACAAGCTTCTGTCTTGTATTTTATGCTAGGCCTCATGAACAGACTTATCTGCATGTCGTCTTGCACGTAACCAAAATATGGATTTAGTGTTCTTGCTTTCTTTGTCTTGCTGCCCTGGGGGGGGGGGGGGACTGGAATGCTTCCACACTAAACACGAAAAATACGAGTGAGCCAGAGGTAGAAAAATATAATATTGCCTTTCCCTGGAGTAAACCTCTAGCCTTAATATTTCTAAAAGCTTTCCTTTTGGCAGAACCTTGCACTAATTTCCTTATGTAATCCTTCATTTGCGCCACAATGGGAAATAAAGCTCTTGAGGTGGAGGGGAGATGATGGGGGCAATCAGGGTAAGGTAGGGTGTTTATTCGAGAGTTCTGGCCTGGGTTAGGATGACCCGATGGTACCGGTGCAAAGTGAAGTGCCATGTTCTCTGCTTCAGTTCAGCCAAAGCTAAGAAAGTGTGTCACGGAAGCAGTCACCCATGTTATCCCTGCAACAACCTACAAGACCTTTCCTCAAACAAGCACTAGTTTTGCTGTTTGCTCAGACCGAAAACTTCCTAGGCCTCTCGCTGTGGAGTTAATCCAGTTATGAATTAGTAATGGATTATGGAAGAAAACAGACATAGCTCTTCCTAAAATGGTCGCCAATGTTTTTATAGAAGGCATTGGACTTTCTTCAGCATGAGGTCAAAAGTTGGATAAACGTTGGCATCTTGCTTGAAGAGTACTGTGATTTAATTAAGCATGGATAATCTGCATAATCACATTAGCCATCCTCAATTTCACTTCAAGTTTTTTTGTAATGTAGTACGTCGCAAATGGCTTGGGTTCGATTAAGAAAGTCACTTGCTGATTGGACATAATGAGAAAAAAACGAAGCAAATGCCACTCAAGATGCCCTGAAAAAGTTCTAGTTGTTAGTTTTCAGACATTCATGCAAAACAAAGCTATGCTAATAACAGTTTATCCTCATCCACTATCTGGACACTAACACTTTTCTAACTCCACAAATGTTATTCTCATCAGCCTGGCCAAGCTCTTAGTCTGGACTCCCCTTAAGGGGAACCAATATATGCCAAAGCACTCTCGAAGAAGATGCGAAGGGCAACTTTGGCAAACAACCTGAGATGCAGACCTGCAAGCTAAATGCCAACAGCCTCCATGATGCAATGAGAAAGGCCATCTAAAGCCAATCGAAACCCAACAAACTTGGAAGATTAGCACTTTCCAATGTCAACGTATCCCTAAACTTTGCTCCGTGTCAACAATTACTCGTGCTCTGTTTTTTTCCATTTCATAAATAAGCTGTTATTTGTTTGTTCTCAGGAATGATCTCCCCTCAAGATGTAACAAACAATTACATTTAATTCGATCGGGGTGCAAAGAACGTTTTAACCTCTGCAGATGACTTGTTCTTTTTTGGTTATTAAAACTTTCACGGTCAACTTTGTCAAATAATTAAAATTGGACATCGATATTTACAGATTATCCAAGACATTAGGTTTTTGTAGGAGATGAAAGCACTAAATACACGTTACAAAAGTGGCTTTGCGTGCATGACCTTATCAGTTTCTTATAATTAACTACATTCAATTTCAAGTATTTATGTGAAAGACACTAAAAAGTATTTTTAAGCTAAGTCCAATCGGATATAAACTCTTTCAAGGACAAATTCCTGTTGTTGTTCATTCCCTATCTACTCTCTCTGCCAGGATTTCTGTGTCTCTCTCTCTCCACCGCGGAGTCTTTTTATCCCATGCAATCAAGCCCAAGATCAGTGAGCGCGAGAGATGCAAACTGTCTAATTACATATTTTCAGTCTCTTATTTGCACTTGACAGGTGATGCAAACAACAAATCCTTTTGATATCCGCTGCCGCTGTTCGCGAAACGATTTTATGCGATTGTTCATTTACATATAAAAGGAAAAGCGCTCAGTATATTTCCCCAAAAAAACAAGAAAAAAAGGAGTTGTGTTTCTCTTTCCTCTGCCTCGCTGGGGGGCAGGAGGGATGTATCAAATGTCGGACTATTGTTGGCAAGAGAGTTTAATTAATTCAGTTCGTTATCTCCGCCTGCAGAACGACCCCATCGGTGGAGAGAGGAATGGGGGTCTGAACGGACAGGATGCTGGAATGTGTGGAGAGACTTGTGTAAAAATTACACAGAAGAGCCATTTCTACATGATCAGCTGCTTTTACTGTGGATTAATAGTGTTCAGCCAACAGCCTGTGAGAACAAAGCAATCGACAAGCAGAAGAATAAAGAAAAAAATAATTTAAAAGGAAAAATTAAAAGCCGTGTTACGAATGAAAGTTAAAAGCGGTCATAATTAAGATGAAACGGTTAACCGCATTTGCATTTTAACTTCCCACAGATGCATAATGAAGAACAAATGTCTAGGACAATCAATCTTCAATTTGTAATGTCTTTGGTGTATATACTTATATATATGTATATACAGTATATGGGTCAAAGACATTAAGATGTCCGCATCAAAAGAAATTTACAAAAGTGATTTTAGGTACATAGAAAGCACAGTAAATGTAAGTAAAGTGTCTACTTTTAAGGTTTCAAATTCATTTTATTTGGAGAATAAAATGTCAAGATTTGGTTGAAATAATGTTACATTGTCATTCAGTGTAACACAATATTTATGTAAAAATTCAAACAACATGCTTATTCTGACATGTACATATTAAAATATTAAAATGATTGTGTTTTAAATGAGTAAAAAAATCTTACTGACAAATGGGCAAAACCTAGGATAGTGGCAACTTTTAAATATGTAAAATTACAGCAAATTAGTATTTGGGGTGAAAGTAATTAGTCTTTTAATATGTCATAAATAGATTTTTGTTGTAAATATGCCTGACCAGATTGTTACACTGAATTACATTTTAGTGGGTCTCTTCTGTAAATCAGGGAAAAATATTTATTTTTTGCTCAGAAAAACAAAAACAAAATTGCAATTAAATTAAACAGAATTAAAAACAATTTAAAGCAGTATTACACTTATTGTTTTTATGCTTAACTTTTTTCGTCTTTATATATATATATATATATATATATATATATATATATATATATAAAATTTTAAGCATTAATAGAAATCATTATGTTTGTTATAATGATTTAGAATAAAAAACTGACAAAAAGTCAATTAAATATGAAAATAATACAAATGATAATATTATCAAAATGATTATTTATTTACTTAAGTGATAATATATTCATTAATTATAATTATAAAATGTTTTTATTTCAATTTCATTTAAATATGGTCAGGTTACATAAAGAAGCATAAAAAGTTTATTTGACTTGTTTTGTTTTTATATGTTGGCTAACATGATGTCTTTTTATGCAAACAAAGCAAAAGATAGGATTATATGCTTGATTTTATCCTACATTATGCATCTCGTATTGGACAAGCAATTGCTAATGAGATGTAGTTTTAGGTTTCATTTGAATTACGACTCCTTTTAACTTTCCCAGGGTTACGGGAGTGAAAATTAGCGCAGATCCGGCAGTTTGTGAGGGAGGGAAAAAAAGTCATATGCAAATGTAGTCGGAAAACACAACCCATTATTCCGGATGTGGGGCAGACGCATTAAAAAAAGATAAGAAAACACCAAAGCTCAGCACGAGATGTGAGCACTAACTTTCATAGTCAAAACCGGCTTCACTGACAGGACTGCTTAGACCAGAATCTGTGAAAAACAGCAAACAGCAAAAAATTAAATAAAAGCATCCGTTTTTGAATGTACTGATAATTAGTTGAGAACAAAATCTTGAAATGGACTGAAAGAAATGGGGAAACAAGCTAAATGCAAGAAAACTAATAAGCAGGAAATAGAACTTCTCCTTTATGCATTTTCTCCTTCCAATTAATTTTTCAGACTATATTGTGCATTTTTAACCAGGCAGGAGAACAGACCACCCCTGCTTTGAATGAAGGCGGTAATCCTCGTGAGGGTCCTCGCCGTTGGATCCGACGCCAAGCAGTCTGTCAGACGCTGAAAGTAGGACACCCGCTCACATATCAGCCGTCCTTCATCCAACATCACAGTCGACATACATGAACTGCTGCAGATACTGTTTATACCACGAGTCTTCATGGCAAACTCCAAGCTAGTTTTTTAAAGAATAAAATCCTCAAAATATCAGATGGCGGCGTCGATCGAGCAGTAAAAAGACATACGGTCAGAGTTTAGCGGCTCAACGTCTGTCCAGCTGTCTGGAGCGCTAGCGCATGAGGAGTGTCTTTAGCTTCTGTTGTTGAGGTCTGAACCATCTGTGATGGCTTTAGGCACACGACACCTATGCAGACGCGCAGTTTAACATGCTAGCGAGAGGATCAGGTTTGAAATCGCATTGTAATTAGGAATGCTTTTGAGAACAAAAAGTCTAAATGTACTTTTTATCTTTTCATGCTTTATGTTGGCAAAGTAAAGAAAAAAGAAAAAAATAGTTATTTTTTTAGATATATTGTTGAGTATGTTCAATACAAATAAATGAAAAAAATATATATATATTTGTAAATATGTTCAATATAAATAAAATACTTATTTTTTCCCCCTTAATTTCTTTTGTTAACATTTACTATATTAATTAACATGAATATTTAAATAGCATTTATGAAGTGTAGTTAATATTAAGTAAAAAAATTACTAATATATTATTAATTAAAATGTATAGTTGTATCTGTTAACATTAGTTAATGTACTATGAACTAAGATGAACATTTTATTAACTAACATTAATATACAGTATATATATAGTTAATTTTTTGTTCATGTTAGTTAATGCATTAACTAATGTTAACAAGAGAGACCATATTGAAGTGTTACCAAAACATTTAATTATTTATTATTATTTTAAGGATCTATAAGTATTTGTGAAATAATTTTGCCTGCATTACAGCTTAGTATTACAGACAAAATCACAGATATAAATAAAGAGACTTTTAAACCAAGAGTGTAAAATAGAATCTCTCTCTTTCTCTCTCTCTCACACACACACACACACACATACACACACACAAACAATACAAGATTCTTTATGACTCAAACTGTGTAGTTGAATTGGTTTTTAAAGGGCTCATAAAAGCAAGAATAAGATATGATTTTATTTTTTATCTATCCATGAAGAAGGTGGAAAATTTTGAGGATATTTGGAGTGTAGAAAACTTACTGTGTTGGGTTGATAATGATGTATTGGTCTTTTGCTGAGATTATGGGATGATGTAATGAAGTGTTTGTAATGGTTTTTTAGAGCTTTTGTATCTAATAAAGGTGTTATAAATTCTCAAAAATTCTCTCTCTCTCACACCCAAGCACCCACCCACCCCCACACTCAACACACACACCCACCCCCTCCCCTCACACACAGAGGTAGGCTACGTTTACACAACAACGATGTAGTTACATTTTTTAAATAAAGTTTCACGTATACACGATAACATTTTCAAAACGATTCGCGTTTACACATCCGCGAAAACGGTCAAAAACTCTGTATTATGTATGCCAGGCCAGTAGTTGGCACTGTCACCTTTATAGTAAACAGTACCTGTAGGGAAGTGACGATTATATGTTGTATATGATGCGTCTCCGCTGTTGGTTGTAATATTGGTGAAGTAAATCCACACTTGAGCAGCAACAACAGTACCATCTACTCCGCCATTGTTGTGTATGTTTGTTTGCGCTTGCCTTTAAAATCGACACATACTGCGCATGTCTACATAACATGTACTACAAAAAAAAAAACTTAAAAACACGTACTACGCACACGCATGACGTCACCATTTTCAAAGATTCCCGTATTGGGTGTTTACACGGAAACAATAACGGTGGAGTTTTCAAAAATATGCGTTTTCAGTGCCTAAAACGCAGTTGTCATGTAAACAAACAGACAAAATGCATAAAAAGTTTCCAGTTTTTGGCTGAAAACGTTGTCGTGTAAACGGCCCCTTAGAAAGAGATCAGATGTCTAATAGTTTTTTAATTTTCTGTTATCAATAGAGCATTGTAAATGAATGAAAATAAGCATGTTTCCTCAAAATGACTTGCTCTCCATAAGTAAAAAGTTTGAAGAGTTTGGATAATGTACTTTAAAAATATAAGACAATTACTGTTTCCTCTTTTACTGTTACTTTAATAAATTGCCATGGCAACACCGTTCAAGACATCCTAAATCCGTTCGCAATTTAAGTTCCTCAATATTTTGCAATCATGTTGACAAAGTTTGGTGTGAATTCCATGATTTTCATACGAGTAGTATGCATTAATTCACAGCCATATTTTTCCAAAAATCCACATTCAAATCAAAATAGCCGACTTCCTGTTGGTCGTAGCTAATGACTGTAAATTAGAAGGTTGTCCGCATTGATGAGAACAATATATGCACCAAGTTTGGTGACTGTAGGAAAAACTAACCCCCTCAGTTTTGTCAAAAGGTGGTGCTATAGAGCGCCTCCTCCACGCCCATTTATGAGCTTTTGCCAGTGTCTAACTATCATTAATACTAATGTGTGTGTTGAGTTTCATGAAATTCTAAGCATGTTATCTGCCTCAAAAACACAGGAAACAAATGTTAAAGTTTGATGCGTTGCCATGGTAATAATATTTAAGATGCTGAATTCAAAGCATTTTGAAAATGACACACTTCCTGCTGCCAGTTGGTGGCGCTATAACTTTCAGTCATAATAGTCATAAACCGCTGAAGTTTAATCAAAATCAGACAATGTGTGCAATAGGTATTACACACATCCTGTTTATCATTTCTCGCCATAATTTCGTCGCCTCGCCACGGGTAAACCGTTTGCGATATTAAAAATCCCTTCACAATTTTTGAGGTCATGCTGACCGAGTTTGGTGGCCATTGTCCTAGGCCATCCTAGGAGGAGTATATCAAATTCCAGAGCATGTGCTTTTTACACAGCCCAGCATAGCCAACTTCCTGTTTTGGGCGGAGCCTATGACATGCAGTGCTAAAGTTGTTCGGCTCAATGTGATCTATATGTGTACCGAGATTCATATCAATACGTGTAATAAGTATGTGTGAGATATACATCAAGTTTTCTGACTGTGTTCCAGGGGGTGCCGTAGAGCATTATACAGCCAATGAAAAAAATAAATAAAAAAAACAGCATAGACATAATTATCGGTTATCTGTATTTAGTGGTTATCTGTTATTTTAAGCATTATATTTCATGATTAATATTATAATTAGCATTATAAATAGGAATACAAAATATATTGGTGACCATATACAGCCAAAATGAATGAATGAATGAATGAAAATAGCACAGAGATAATTATTGGCTATTTGTAATTGTAAGCATTATAATTCAGGATTAATATTATAATAATGTTCCGCCAATAGACAGATGGATGGATGGATGGATGGATAGATAGATTATCGGTTATCTGTATCTGCTAAAATAAATAATATTATTAAACATGAACATAAATCATTATGTTAGTGATCAACAAAAAATAAAGTAACTGAAAAATTTAAAAATATTGTTAATAGTTATTAAACATAAAATAATTAAAAACGAACAGGATTAAAACAATTATTATAATAATTATTAACAACTATCTGTTATCAATTTAAAAATAAAGTGCATAGGTGCATCTCTTTATTTATAAGATATATAAAATGCCCAAAGAGCTTTTACAATAAACATTGTTTGGCTTTTCTACCGCCCAAATCTACGTAAATCTTAAAAGTCAATATAAAAGCCATTTTCTTCCATAATATGACATATGTCTGATTAAAACAGAATGAAGAAATCAATAAAGAAAAAAAATAAACAATGAATTGTGGCAAGATTTTAGAAAGCTGCCTAAAAAAATGACTAAATAGGATGCGGGTGAGGATTACAAATCTTCTATTTACAGACACAATTAATCACGAGCCTGGAAAAACCATGAGCGTCTCCGAGCGTGTCGTATTAAACAGTTTGCTAATAAAAATATTTGTTTTCTAAAACAATTCATAATACCAATTCAAACAGACTGAAGGGGACGCAGAGGAACTGAACAGAACCTGACCCTAAACGCGTTACGAAACAAACCTAATGTCGGCGTCTCGTCTCATTAGGACAAGTTGTGTGCCATATGTGCCAGTCATCCATGTGAACTCAAGTGTGCTGCTTTGAACAATGGCCCATTAGCTAATGGAAATGTCGCAAATGTTTCCCCGTCCCAGTTAATTGGGCTAAAATGTCCACTTAAATGAAAATTCACCAAGCAAAGAGATAATGACACTGCGCTTAAAAAGAACAACGTTGTGTCGCAAATTTAACGCTCCTCAATTAATAAAGTCCAACAAGGATGGCTTTAACGAGGCGAGCGTCTTGATAGTGTTAAAGCGGACGAAAGAGGCGAGAAATAAGATGAAAGTGTGCCGGGTTCATTTCTGATGTGTTATTAGGCGGCTGCTGGACAAGATGTCCCACAATGGACAGGTGATTATGGGAAATGAGGTGGCAATAGTGGCTTTCTTGCATTCTCCACCTCCATTTCTCAGCTGGCTCTCATTTTATCTGGGCTGAAGGAGAGTTCTCGGCGTTATGACCTCCTCAGGTGGCCACGCTGAGATTACCGCCTTTGAAACGAGAGCTATTTGATGGGGAGACGCCGAGAGCAGACAGGAGAGAGACGCCGTCGAAAAATTCACACCACGCCACTTCAAGGAGCCACCGAGAAATGTCAGGGTAGGTTTAGCGCGCAAAGCCGGTAAAAATGAGGGCACTCTTTGAACTGGAGGACTTTGATTAGACAAAAGATCGTCTGCTTTGGAACAAGACAAGGACGCGACGGCAAAAACATTTAGTCAGTATCTGTTTTCAGTATTTATCGGTTATCTGTAATTATGATTAGCATTATAATTCAGGATTAATATTATAATTAGCACTAAATAGGAATGCACAATATATTGGTGATCATGTACAGCTAATATAAATAAATAATTCACACCACGCCACTTCAAGGAGCCACCGAGAAATGTCAGGGTAGGTTTAGCGCGCAAAGCCGGTAAAAATGAGGGCACTCTTTGAACTGGAGGACTTTGATTAGACAAAAGATCGTCTGCTTTGGAACAAGACAAGGACGCGACGGCAAAAACATTTAGTCAGTATCTGTTTTCAGTATTTATCGGTTATCTGTAATTATGATTAGCATTATAATTCAGGATTAATATTATAATTAGCACTGTAAATAGGAATGCACAATATATTGGTGATCATGTACAGCTAATATAAATAAATAAACAAACAAACAAACAAACAGCATAGAGAAAATTATCGGTTATCTGCATTTATCGCTATCTGTAATTATAAGCATTATAATTCAGGATTAATATTATAATTCACATTGTAAATAGGAATGCACAAGTTATTGGTGATCATAAACAGCTAAAATAAATAAATCAATATTTTTTTTTAAAACAGCATAGAGATAATTATCGGTTATCTGCATTGATCAGTTATCTGTAATTATAAGCATTATACATGCATAATAAATTGCTTGCCAAATATAGGCTAAATAAATAAATATTTTTTTATAAAAGCATCATTATCGGTTATCCGTGTCCACAAAGATAAATAATAATATTAAACATTAATATAAATGGTTATGTTAGTCATCAGTGACAAAAAATTAAGACAATTAAAAAATTTAAAATAAATTGTTAATAATATAAAAATAATTTAACATAATTATCGGTTAACGTTTTAAAATTTCTACATTGGTGCATCACTTTATTTATAAGAGATACCTATATGTATATAAATATATAATATAATATATAATATATAAATGCCCAAACAGCATTTATAATAGACATGTTGCGTTTTTCTTAAAAATAATGTTTGGCTTTTCTATCTCCCAAAGTCAAAAAATTTAAATCTTAAAAGTTAATATAAAATCCATTTTTCTTCCATGTCAGTCTAGGTTTAACGTACAAAGCTGGCAAAAATGAGGACGCTCTTTGAACTGAATGATTTGGACAAAGCAAAACATCCATTTTGTTTAGAGACAAGGGCGGCGATGGCAAAAATGTCTGTGAAACTGTATGGATGTTCAATTTCATTTGGACATTCAAAACCTTGAAATAAATATGAAATAAAGATGACTGACAGGCCGTACCCGATTATTAACTAATCAACTGCATCAGTAGTGACACTAATTAGAAAAAACAGCAAGTGCACCTGAAATTGACAGTTAAATTAAAGTTAATTGACAATATATGTCACTCTGGCGCACTTCAAAGTACACATTCGAAAGGAGAATCTGACAAATGATACGAAAATAATGTTGAAATGCAAAAAAGCTCTATTTTCTTTATGCTAAATATTTTCCTTTTGATTTTTCATTTGATTTTGAGGTGAAATATGACCTAGAAATACATCTGACACAGGTTTTGTGAGATGAGTTCAGAGAAAAGTTCATGTGTCAAGTGATTGAGGTGGTTTGTTGATACCTGGGGTCTGGAAGTTGATTCGTCTCATCTCCACCGGGTCTGTGGGGTGGTGAGGGGTGATATCGGCGTTGTTCAGCAAACATTTCGTCCGTGGCTCTGACTCTTTACGTTTGCTGCTTTAGAAAAGGATAGAAAATGCAAGGACTCAATGAAATCTGACAAACGAGACCGAAAAAGAACAAGTACACCAAATCACAAGTGCACAAAATGACCACCCAGTGTTTCCTGACCAATTCAGATCAATGACTCATGATTTAGAATGATTCATCAATCAGTTTGACTGATTCAATTAGTGCCATGCACTTATACTGTTAACAGGTATTAATAAAAGTCTGCACACTACTTTGTTTGTCAGTATTTACCAGTGCAGAAAACACTGTTTATAGTCTATCATCGAGGAAGCTAGATGCTAGCACAAACAAAGCTATGTCCACAAACACCACAGCCGAGGGGCACATTGGTTGAACCCACCATTTCATTGCACTGTTTTTCTCTGCCATCTAATTAAAAGTTGCTTTTATGCTGAGGCAGGTTGTTTTCTTTTGCCCCCTTGAAAACAGCAATAAAGTACAGCTAAGCCTTACCTGTCAGGCTTGCTGCTTCCAAAGAAAGCATTGAAGTGAAATAAATATATAAAAGGGAGAAAACACAACAAGAGAACAAGGGAGAGGAGAGGAAGAAAATCAATAGAGAGCATTTAAATTCACAGGGCAGGCTAGCGGAGCCAGATTATCTCATCTGCATTTGGACAGACCTGTAAAAGATGTGTGTTTGCACCCACCGGGGGGCTATACGATCTCCAGACACCAGAGGTCAAACTCAAGGTCCTGCCGAGGGAGGAAATACTAGCCAGGAGTCGTCCGCTTTTAACCTGGCTCTAGAGGCACTAATGAAGAATAGCTTCCCTTTGAGTTTCAGCACGCTTGCATGCTAAAAAGTAAAGCGGTCTGCTTTGGCTCTGAAGCTAACAGCTATTAGCTATCACCTCATTAATTTTTAATACGATCGAATTGATTGCTCTGCTCAGCTCCGCTTTGAACTTCTTCAAACTATGCCAATGCTGAGGGCTAAAATAAGCTTAAATCATTCTTTTAGCATTTCTGCACCTCAAAATGCATCTAGAGTGTCAGAGCGTAAGTTTGAAGACTGCCCCAACTACTCATTAACTGAAGAACTGAAATTTGTGCCCAAAACTGAAATGTATAATTTATATTATATTACAATTCCATTTACAAGTACACAATTACAAGTACAATTATATTATATTAATATATTTATAAATGTCCTTACAAAATATTTTAATGAATAATAATAGAAAATAGTATTTTATTTATTTTCTATTTAATTTATTGTGACCAAGATTTACATTTATAAATAAATTAACTAATTAATTAATTAATTAATATATTATAAATGTCTGTACAAAACGTTTTAATGAATAAAACCAAACTATAGTATTTTATTATATTTACTTCAATTTGATTAGATTTAAATTTATTGGGTCAGAAACTGAAATTTATAAATACATTATATTAATAGACATTGTAAATGTTTTTACAAAATATTTTAATTTATATAGTAATTAATTCTACTATTTGTCAATTGTAACTAATCATATTAATCTGTAAATTATAATTATAAATGTCTTAACAAAAGGTTTTCAATGTAGTCATTTATTATATTTATTTTCAATTTGAATGAATTAAAATATATATATATTTTTATTTTTTTTTATTTTTTTTAACAAAACAATGCATAACTATTTTTCATAAAACAACAGATAAGACAATAATACATACATTTTTTTTATATTATTGTTTTTAAATAAAATGTTTTGTAAAGATTTGTTTTATAATATATATAAAAAAATTATATATATATATATATATATAAATACTATTTATATAGATTTTTATATATAAAATATAATATATCATTTTTGTGAAGGCACAAATTTCAAGTATTAAAGATAATGAGAAGCTTAATTTAGTTCTCATTTTGACTGGTAGTGTAAATTGTACTAATCGAAATAGTTTATATTCATTAACATGTCAAAGGTCCACTCACTTCTTGTAGAGGAGAATCGCAATCACAATACAGATTATGAAGACCACAGCGAGAACGGGCCCCACCACCCAGATGAGTCCATCCCCTCCCGTATCTATGGGCTGAGGGTCCACATCTGGAGCTGTGACTGGATCAGTGTAGGGGCTGGACGCAAACGTTTTCTGCACAAAAGCAAAAAAAGGTTATAGCTATCTGCATTTGCCACTTTGCACGAGTCTTAAAACTTAAATTTCACTCACCCCTCCGGTGGTGTTGAGCTCAGCAAGGATAAAGAACACATATTCCTGCCCGGGGTCCAGAGGCCGGTTTTCAAAGCTGCTGTACACCATCTGGTTGCCCAGGGTGAAGGACGGCGGCATGGATGAGGGCTTGAAGCTGGCAGCAATGTAGGGCCGCTTCCCATCCACCTGCTTGAGCTGACGGGTGGTTCGAGCGTGACGTTGACCGAGTCTTCTGTCGCCCAACAGCTGTTGGAGAAAAAGACTGCTTGAGGAGAACTGAAACCAGCATCTAAAACACAACATATTCTGGTTGATTCTTCTGGGAACACAACTATCAAACAACTAGCAGCTGATGCTAAATAAAATGGGTTATTTACTCAAAAAAACAAACAAACAAAAACCAATCATTTTGAAGTCAAATAATACATAAACAGAATACAGGCACCTATTCGCCATTCACAGTTCAAGGTCAAGCGGCCAAGCGTGGCAGTTTGCCAGCGGGTAAGGATGAGAGCTGTGCCACAATGCTCCTGCGAGAACACTTTCCATGGCTTTGGCTCCACTGTGTCTGTGACACAAGGACAAAGACTTGAGAAAATAAGCTGCGAGTATGTTCACCTCTTCTAGGTCCAATTCATCTGGGCTCTTGATATGTCGGATTGGACCTCTTCCCTTCTTCAGAGGAACCACCACAACATAGACCGCCCTGCAAGAGGTCAAGATGGTGCAAAAAACCATTTCAAAAATGGCTAGTCAAAGAATTGTACAGAAAAATAACTACCTGTCCACTAAATGTGATTATTTTTCCATGTTCCATAAAACTGGGAACATCTAGCTGAACGATTTTCAACAAAACCTGAAAAATTCCCTACACAAGTATGCAAACGCAGAAGTTTCAAGCTAAGCAAGCTTGATGTTACTTTTCGAAACAAACACAAAACGCAGTTCTTAAGTATGTGCTGCATTATCAGTATGGCCACAAGGGGCACTATAGAAGACAACAGAGCAAACTATCTTCTACTGTGAGTTTTTTTGTCATTACTCCAAAACCAACACTTTTTTTTATAAGATTTATTTTTGGCATTCTTGCCTTTATTATGATAGGATAGATCAGAGCTGACAGGAAGTGGAAGTTAAGACGGACTTCGAACTCAGGACGCCAATAGTGCAACAGCACTGTATGTCTGTACGCTGCCCACAAGGCTACCTTTTTAAGATTTATTTTAGGTGTTTTATGCCTTTATTTCGATAGGATAGTAAGTTGACAGGAAGCGAAGTGGGGGGGCGGGTAGGGAAAGGTCCGTAAGTCGGAACTTGAAATTGGGACACCTGAAGGACAACGGCGCTACATGTCAGCACGCTGCCCATGAGGCTATTGGCGCTGACAACATCGACACTTTTAAAGAACCCCATATTTCCAATTTGCTTGCGTCTGCGTTCACATGCTTGCATAGAATACGTTTCTGACCTAGAACAGCATTTGGTTTTCCTTACTTGATCAACTCTTTGGATTCCAGCGGTGGGAAGACAATGGTCAGAGTACTGTCTGGCTCTCTTTTCAGGTCCAACTCTGGCTTTCGGACCAGAATAGGTGGCGCCGTTCTTGCGATGAGCTTGTGTTTGGGTCCACCGTCACTGCTCTCCTGGCAGGTGATTCTGAACTCATAGGTGCTGTTGGGTCGCAAGTTGGTGATGAGAGCTTTGGTCATCCTAGCGTCAATGTCAACCTTCTGCCGGTTGTACTCGATCTGTGGACCAATGTGCATCGATAAATTGTTCAAAAACAGATCCTGGCAATAAGATTGATATTGAATGAACAAAACAGGATTCATTAGCTCGCTTACCATGCAGCGGTACGGGAAGCGGCTATCGAAAAACTTCCAGGTCAGCAGTACCGTGGTTTTGGTGGCCAGCTTCACGGTGAAGTTCTTAGGAACATCTGTCCAGAGGTGAACGGAGGAAAGACACTTTAGAAATTGAAAAAGCACAACAAGACTGAAGGGATAGAAGGCTGACAGAGTGTTCGATGCTTGCGACCAGTTTTCCCCCAAAGGAGAGGGGCTTTGGTCCCTCTGAGTGAGCGGTGTGTGGCGCTAGCTGTGAAGGGGAGGGGGGAGGCGCTCAGTTGGGACAAACAGCACGCTAGACTAGACTGGTGAACACAGAACCACAGGATCGCACAGTACTCTGCCTGCCCTGGCCCGGCAGTGCCGCCCCAACAAGAACATTTGGCAAGCAGCTCCCATAATCCCCCCTGAACGATTCCAGAATAGCTGAACCCACATTATGTTTGAGTAACCCACTGCTGCGTGCTCTCGAATTTGGATAGGCACTGCCGTGGCAGAAAGCCCGACAGGAATGAGAACAATCCCCAAACACAGTTGTCATGCCCACACTTGTTAGCAGTGCATCATGGGACACCATGCTGCAAACCATCCCAGTGTGGGAGCGGGGGGGTGGGGGGAAAGGTGAGTACAGAAAAGAGGAACCGTTAAACCAAACAACGAAAAATGCAGAAGAAAACCCAAACAAAGTAAACAAATGTGCCTGATTTGACTTCAGATCTGGGATCTCCTTGACGTGGCTCTCGCCTACCTTGGAATACTAGGGGAGTTTTGTGATTGGATGAGTGAATGTGCTGGGCGTGTCTGACCAATCGGCACTTACCTCACAAAAATTGACGCTCCTCCCCTTTCAAAACTGACTGACTTTAACTTACTGACTTATTTTACCTTGTTGTGGGGGAGGGTGTTAGTGAGGTATGTGGCTCCCAGAGAACTTTATATAATCGGGTGTAGGTGCTTGCATTGTAGAGGTTTGTCCCTTGAGGCGGGGAAATGAGCAACCCATACCTGCTTCGTAGGCCACTGTTTGATACTGGATCGATGGGCTGTAGGGCCCTGGACCTACACTGGTGTGCGCTCGAATTTTCACATCGTACACTGCGTTGGGCCTCAGGCTGTTGAGGGTGTAACTGTTCTCACTTGCCGGTAGACGCAGTTCCTTGGGTCCGCCAACCATTCCGGCCTCTTGGTAAGCCAGTGTGTATTCTGTTATAGCGCCGTTGCGCTCCGCTAGCACCGGAGGCAACCAGGCAAATTGGAGCGAGCAGCAGGTAATGTTAGACCCTTCGATTATTTGTGGATACCCTCGAGGAACCTCCTCTGGGACTTTTAGTTCTCGGGTAGCCTCTTCACCAAATCCCGATCTGGACTTGGCGGACACTTTGAAGACATACGTGGCCCCTCGGTGGATATTGCTAATGGAATATTCCAGCTCCTGAGGGCCGAACTCCAGCGTGGCCAGGGGACTCACATCCTTTCGGCCGATCTGAAGCCGATAGCCTTGCACCTCGAGACCCGGAGCGACGAAATCTGGGGGTTGCCAGCGCACTAATGCGGTAGTCTCTGAGTTTTGGTTGACGGAGAGAAAGGGAGGCCCCGGTACTGCAGAGAGAGAAAGAGGGACATTACATTCAATTGAAATGAACCGCATCTCACTTAAGTCTGTTGTATCGTAACTAGGTGTATTTTCATCCTGGTACTCCCTACTAAAGAAAAGCCATCTAAAATGACTTTAAATGGATTTATTACAAACCTAGTTCCTGTAAAGTACCATTATATAAGCATGTACATTTTGTACAAACTATCATAAAGGCACTAACAGCACATATACTCCTTACTCCAAATGTTACCCAGAGAGTCTGCGAGTCAGAACAACCTGTTTTGAAAAAGCTATTCATTTTTAAGTGACTAGATGGTTGTTGAACAGATCACTGGATGAGAGATGGTGGGTTAACAGCTGTATGATAGAGAAGGAGAGCATGAGAACAGACAGGAGGACGAATGACTCCAGGAAAAAAAAGAAGTGCTGATGTAGGTGACGGGGAAAAGGCGCAATCTGCTGCAGCGAGAGGACAACGAGGGTCAGAGACTCCGTGATTGTGGCCCGCTTCCCCTTGCCATTGGCACTCCAGTCCACTCCACTGGACGACACACAATCCTCTCCACAGGACCACAGACACGTTTCCCATTAGGCCTTGCATTAACGGCCACTGTTGACCCACAGCCACTGATTAAGATAGGATTACGTTTCACACTCACGCCCTCCCCCTTCCATACTTCCCTTTCTCTCTCTGCCCTTCTCATCTCCAGTGGAGGAGACGCCGCTACAAAAAAGAGGAACAAAATAAAATAACCTTCAGCTAACATGCAATTAACCTGCCGACAGGTCTTACAGGGAGTTATATTAAGCGTATAAAGCACGACTGGCAGCTGACATGACTTAGCCCTGAGAAAACTGCAGCGCTGCATTCTGGGCCAAACTGATACCAAATATACAAAAGACAAGGGCAAAACCAACCAAATATGTCTGAATATAACTGTCCGACTAAATTTTCTCAGCACAGGATAACAAAAAGTTAAACGTAATTAACATTCTTTAATTTTTCTACAATACACAAGAATTTAATCAAAGTAACATTCCACAAATGAACATGTTTGTAGTGATTTTACTATGGTAAAGGGCACATGGGCATCAAGCAAAGTTGTTGCTTTTATAAAATTTCAGCAACAGCAGAAACAGACACAACTGTTCAATATATAATAAAATTAAATCTTCTACTAAGTGCTCAGCTATCTGTTTACAGTTTTCAAGAAATTTACCAATTTGGTGCACCAATAAAGATTTCAAAGACAGCTGAACTAATCTAATTCTAGAGCTGGAACTACACGTTCCATAAAAATAAACAAAATCAATTTATGAGCACTATAATGCCAGTTTGTAATCCCATAATCCAAAAACCTCAATCTACAGAAAGTTCAACTCCATGCCACAGTATCCTGGCATCAGACGATATTAGACAAGAAGCTCCAGAGACCAACCGAGGAGCTTCACTCTCCAGAATCAGGATTGGAGCAAGTGGCCCTAAGTGGACCAATTAATTGAAGAGAATAACCACAGTGCAGGGAGGATTGTGAGTCATCCAGTCTCTCTGTTCCCTGAGCCGTGGCGGCCATCCAAGCGGACACTCGTGAAGAACACCTCCTGCCCCTGCATTAGCATGCAATCTGCTCATCTCCCACAAGGATGAAAGGAGACAGGAGGAAATTAAAAAAAGGAAGGCTCGCACTTGATCGGAATCTGGCCTACCGACGCCTAAACTTAAAGATGTGACGGTTTGTGTTTAAAGCACGTGGAATCGAGAATGATAAGGCGCATTAGCAAAGGGTTTGACAGCATGCACATCAACCAGTCCATCGGCTCTGAAACAAGAACAGAATCAATCATTCCTGTGTTATTCCTCCTGGACAACAGGCAGCATCAATTAGATCGATAGAAGGACATCTGCTTTGAGATCAAGGCGCAGGAAACCGATAACGTAGCTCTTTGAACGCAGCATTAATAATGTTTGTCAATATGGTTGACGTGTGCTTAAACATAATACAAAAAACACCAGAAATGGCGGAAATTGACTTTTTTTGTGCATTTGAACGGGTGCTATTTTCGGATCATTGACATATATATTTATATGTCAATTATCCAATTTATATTAATATTTTAAATTAGTTTTTATTTTAATTCATATTGTTAATAATTCTGTCATTTTTCTTAAATTAGTCATGCTATAAATATATAGTTTCTATTCATTTTTATTTTATTTTGTTATTTTAGTAATATTAGTATTATTTTTAATGATTTGAATTCATGCTAATAACCCTGAATATTTTAAATATATATATATATTTTTAGAGGTTTTGCTATTTAATTTTAGTTGTAGTAATTTTGTTGTCTGTTTTGCCATTTTTCGTTTACATTTATAGTTTTTATTAATTTATATCTTAGTTGTGTTATTTTAGTGCTTAAACAAAAATGAGAAATGTTGCCTTGGCACCTTGCTGAAATGAAGTATATGGTTTTTATTTCATTTCAGTTGATGTTTTATTTTATATTTTATTTAACGATAACAACCCTGATTTTCACCACTAAAACATTACTGCTCACTCCAGCGCACATTATTTTGTTGCATGCAACTGGAATGACATCTTGGCGTGTTCGTAGAGCCTGACTGACGGGCTTCACGCTGCCGAGTCTCCGTTCTGAAGTGTATCTTCGACATGCAGAATGGCAGCTCGGGGACGGCCGGCTCTCTCAAGATGACAGGCGGCCTTGTGGAAGGTTCAGGGTTTGAAAGGGGCGGGTCGGCCCTTATCAATACAATAAGGCAGGGGCTTAAGTTGTCTGACAGCATTATGTAGCAGAAATGAGGCATGAAAGTGCCCCGGAGTGGCTCCTCTGAGCCCCATTGGTCAAGCTTCCCCTCTGTTCTGGCACATGAAAGAGCACGGTGCCACTTCTTTAAGTAGGGCTGAGTCTGCCCTTGTTTATTTCTTTCTTTCTTTTGTCTGCTGTAAGCATTTCGCCACACTTTCGGAGGCGGGAAGCGCAGGGACATCCTTCCTTTGACTGCGCCACATCACTGTGTGAGTGAGAGGGAGAGAGACAGGCATTCAGAATGACATGCATATATGGCGCCGCTGTCACACTTGGCATCTGCAATCGGCACACCTGTCTCGTCAGCGTCTGGAGCTTGAGAGCTAACTGCAGAGGAAAACTGACTACGCATATGTGGCTAGCTAATATATCTTATTAGCATTATTCATATACTATACTGCTCAAAAGGTACTTCAAAATATATCATGCTATTAGCATGATGGTAGTGTCCAAAATTCAGTCAAACCCCCCCTGTTCTTACACTATGGATGCATATTTTCAAAACGGACTAGCTAGTGGGCTGTCATGTGAAAATCTTACCATCAGCAAGGATTAGCACTATTTTAACTTAACAAGGCATCTTAAAAGAAAAAGCTCATGGCGTCAGATGCATAAATAACAATGAGAAGCAACACAAAAGCCAAAACATGATCATCTATGTGTACAGAGATAGAATACTTATAAGAATACCATGGTATTAGCATGATGGTAGTGTCCAAAACTCACTAGCGTGGTATTCACTTTTCTGGTACGTTTAGGCAAAGCCAACCTGATCATTCTTACACGAGGGATGTATAAAAAGACATATTTTCAAAAGAGACCAGTTAGATGGCTTGTAGAAGAAGTGAATAATCAGACAGGATTAGTGCCATTTTTACTCAATGTTGTACCTTAAAATAAAACACTCATGGCGTCAGACACATAAAAAACAAAATATGAAAACAGCTAAAACATGTTTGTCTGCATGTGTATAGAGAAAAATACGTATAAAAATGTCATTAACATTGCATGGAAATAGTGATTCACTTCCCTGTACAATTAGGCTAACACAGCAAGCGAATTCATTAATCTGTGGTTAACTAGTCCATCATTCTGACCCACTAATGCCTTACTCAAACTTCAGCCCTCTACATCAGTTCATGTTTTCTGAAAACGAAACTTTGTTGCAGTAGCAGGCCATGTGTGGCTAACTGCTAATACACAATCCCAGCTATCCGTTCCCTTATAGCTTTTATGTACTCCAGACACACTATATAGGCCATGTTTGTTTTTTCTTATTCGATTGAAGTCCCTTAAGGTTCATTTTGCTCCTGTAGCTCATAACACCTGGCCTGCGGTGCTCTGGAGCTCAGCTAATGATAACGTCATTATTACCGACCTGCTCCTTTAGTCACCACCAGCTTGGGTTTGCTGCGGGCTCCGTCTCCTTTGGTGGTGTAGGCTGCCACGGTGATGGAGTACGTGGTGTCAGGCTGCAGGCCTCCGATGACCATCTCCTGTGGTTAATGGACACAAAGAGGGAAGTTAGCACTATGTTAGGGAACTGAATTTTTTAAAGACTTTACTACATGTCACCTGCACAGGCCTGGCGTCAGTTTCCTCTCTTTTCAATGCCACGGCCTGCAATCTGTATTCTGCTGTCTTTTTTTAAAAAAGTATATTAACCTAGCAACTTGTCACATTAATACCGAATGTATGACTGATATTAACACCTCTAATATTATCAAATTAAATAAAAATTATATATATATATATATATATATATATATATATATATATATATATATATATATATATAAAAAATTTAATATATTTTTTATTATAAAA